ATATACATGGATTATATATGTTTAGTATATATATAAATTATATATGAGGGGACTTATCTTTAAAATAAAAATTATTAAAACAGAGAGCTTGTGCTTCTGTATATATTTAATATATATATAAATTATATATTAGGGGGACTTTTCTGCAGGATTATAATAATAAATATAGTATTTTATTATAATATTCTTAGCATATATATTATATATATAAAAAATATATTTATTCTATAAAATAAACTATTAAATTTATTTTAAAATTTTTTATTAATTATTCTGTTTTCTCTTAGCTTGGTATATGCAGGATATATATAAGATATAATAATTTATATTAATTTTTTATAAGTCTCTGTATAATATTACATAGCAGATTTATATGAAATCTTATTTTTATATATATTAAATATATTTTTTTAAATATAAGTCTAGTATATATAAAATATATATTTAGACTTATGCAGATAATATATCTGCTATTATTCTAAGAATAATATCCATTTCTTCAGTATACTATATTTATTAATATATATTAAATTAATATATAGATCTGATTTATTTCTTACTGATAATATATTCTTTAAATCCGGTATTTGCCTTAGTTGGATTCGCAACTGTATATTATTAGCATATATAAATTATATGTAGACTGAAATAACATACCAGCTCTAGAATAAGTCTAGTAAATATAATACTAAAGTTATATATTATTAGTATAAGCTTGGTATATACTGAGTATATCCATATATTACTATCTGAAATATACAGCATGTGCTATATATCTATAAACTATTAACAGCAATATTATAGTTATTATTTATTAGTATATATTTAATATATACAGGAATGATTATTTATATAAATCTATTTATATCTGACAGGTATTCTGGTGTGTTGGATAAAGTTATTTTAATTAATATATATTTAATATATATATAGATAGAATTAATATTTATTAAGATTAATAATAATAACTTTCTTTAGATCTACTAATATTTTATTAATATATATATTATATCTGCGTGGGATATATCTTACCTATAAATCTCCAGCTAATATTATAATTTAGAATAGGATTTATTTATAATTAGTATATATTTTACTTATGTCTCACATGTATTTACTATAATAATAATTAAATCTGGATAGGTTCATGCCTGCTACTACTTCAGGATTATTGAAGTCAAGAATAGTATTTATTATTATAATATATATATAAAATATATAATAGTAGAGTAAGATTAAATTATAAGAGAATATATAAAATATATACTTAATATATATTAATTATTATAATTAGAGTATCAAATAAGTATATACTCAGTATAATTAAACATAGTATATATAATTTAGTAGAAAGCAAAAATCCCTCCCTGTATATATAAAAAAAATACTGGAATACCAGGACTTAATTAAATTTATAAAATATATTTAATACATGTTTAGTAATAAAAAGGGAGGGGGGGGCAAACTTATTCAAATAAATATAAAAAAAAAGAATAAAACAAGAAGAAAGAAATTATATATATATTTAATAATAAATATAAATATATTAAATAAAATATATATCTTATTTATTTACTTTACCACTTACTTTGGAAAGGAGAGAGTGAATAGTAAATAACTATATAAATTAAATATTTAATATAAAATATAATAAATCTATATTTTATATACATAGTATATACAGTTAAATATTAGATAATGATAGCTACAACTGAGTGGGTTCTTATAGCATATATATGGTATATGATTAGCTAAAGTTGATTGTGGTCTAGTATGCTTATTGTGGTCTAAACCTCTTAATACAGGGGGGTTCAGACCATGTTGAGCATATGCCAAGAACAGCTCGGCGTGGTCTGAAGGGGGTGGTGAGATGACTGGTAGAATGTTAGACCACGCTCACCTTTTTTCAGACCATGATGAGCTGCGACCCGAAACTAATTGTCCGTCCAGGTACTAGTCAGAAGATCTTGCCCAAATGCTGCTGTTTGAATACGTGAAGCGGGTGTTAAGGTTTGGAAATAGCCTATTGTCTAATTATAGTGTGGATGTTTCATGGCTGTCATGAAAGTAGTACTGAGCTGGTGTGTTGACTGGATGTCCTGCATGCAGTGAAAGACGGGTAGATGGTGGGGAGTCCATTCCTCGTAAAGTTTATGACAGGGGCATAGGGTGAAACAGTCGTTTCCTGTATATTGTCTATTAATCAACCAAGCTTTACAGCGCGGATATTGGACAGATAAATATTCGACAGGCATTATGTGCAGGATTCTCTGCAGCTGCCGCAGATGTCTGATAGTAACGAGACATACTCCGTCCCCTGCTGATCCATCATGATCTTGGTGCCGCGGCGACCCTCGCTTCGAGATGCAGACTGAGGATGAGCAGCGCACGGATTGACTGGAATAAACCGCGTCGAAGCGAGATGCCCGTTATGTCCAATTCCACGGCTATAGTTGCCTCGTAATGGCGTGGCTGTCGAGTCCGAGCCCTGATCAGCGAACAGGGTCGGGATAAACAGGGTCTTATAGAGGGTGCAAGTGGGGAGATCGTGAGGTGGAAAGGGTCGTTATTTGAGGCTGGGGGAGACGATCGGGGACGGTCACAATAAATGGGCAGCTGGAACAGGTTGGCACAGCAGATGAAGACCCTGGCCAAGGGTCGACAGGGCCCATTGAGAGCCGCGGACAGCGGCGAGGGGTGCGTGGCCTGTGGATGCGGCAGAGGGAAACAGCCAAACAGAGTGGTGGATGGCATTCCCACCGCCAGCCTGATCGGCCACCTTGTTCCGCCAATAGTCGGCCGTTATCTGCCACTCCGTCCCGTGCCTGGAGCGGAATGTACTGTCCGCCTACTGTATCCGGCAAGGCAGGTGGCTGCCATCCCCGATTCTGCCGGGAAGGTCTCCAGCAAGTTTTACTCCGTACGTTCGCTCGTCTCCATCTCTCCATCTCTCCTGGCCGATCTGGCGGCCTGGCCGTGTGTGTCCCTCGTTCCTTTTTTCTCCCATTATAATATCTTCCGTGATTTCCTTCTTTCCTTCGATTCTGTCCCTTCTAGCGTCTCTTTCTTTGCTTCTTTCTTTCAGTCTATTCCCGCTTGTCTGCCTCTTGTTGTCAGACACCTCCGTGTGTTGTGGGATTCTTTTCCACTTCCACTTTGCTTACGAGTCCCCTACTTTACTTGGAGGGGTTTATCAGTCGCTCGCTTAACACACTTTGCTTGGATCACATATTATTTACCCTTTAATTTTTCTACAGCTCGTCCAGGCGTTCAGCTTTCTTTCCTACCCACATGGCTCGCCTTCTTTTCGCCGCCTGCAGCGCCCTGCTGCTGGCCACGCAAGCAGCCGCCGACACCTTCCCCTACAACACCTACCGCACCGCTCCATACACCCCTCCCCAAATCAAGGTCACCAAGTCCGGCCAAACAGATCCGGGATACATCTTCGTCGGTCCCCGTGGAAATCAGCCGCAAGGAACGGCTGCCCTGATATACGATGAGGACGGTCACTTGGTCTACCAGGGGCCGGAGGAGGTAACGGCCAACTTCAAGGTGCAGAAACTCTTCAACGAGGACGTCATCACCTTCTGGGCTGGTAACATGATGGATCTGGGTTTTGGATACGGCACGGTTCATATTCTTGACAACACCTACCGCGAAATCTACACCGTCACCCTCCAGGACAACTTCGTCTCGCCCGATGGCGCCCCCAGAGATTCGTACATCGATCTACACGAGAGTCATGTGACGGATCGCAACACTCTCTTGGTCACGGCCTACAATGTCACTCAGCATGACTTGTCCTCCATCGGCGGCAAGGTGGACGACTACATGCTCGACGGCATGTTCTTCGAAATCGATATCGCGACCAATGAGATTGTGTATCAGTGGAGCGCATTGGATCACCTTCAGGACATCCCCATCGAGACCTCCAAGCAGGGCTTGGGAGCAGATCAGGGGACGCAGGACAAGCCCTGGGACGCTTACCACATCAACTCCGTCGAGCTGATGGATGAAGGATACATTATTTCGCTGCGTCACTACTGGTCCGGCTTTTATGTTCACAACAATGGGTCAGTGATGTGGCAGCTCAGTGTAAGTGGAATTGTGTTCGCTCTGGTCGTAACCTACTTGCTAAAATCTGATAGGGTGAACGCAACGCCGGCGACTTTGAGATTGATGACGGTGCCATCTTCTCCTGGCAGCACGACATCCGTGTCTACCACCAGACGGAAGACAGCATGCAAATCAGCTTGTTCAACAACGCCAACACACCCACGGATACTGTCGACGCAACCACCGGCTTGAATCTGCACGTTGACCTGACCAACCGCAAGGTGTCTACGCTGCGCACGCTGAAAGACTCGAGTGACGTGATACACAGTGTCAGCCAGGGCAGCTACCAGCTTCTCAGTGAGGAGACGTCTCACGTTGTGCTCGGTTACGGTTCCATCGCGAAAGTCAAGGAGTATGACGCCCACAACAACGAGGTGATGACGGCGCAGTTCGGTGACGACAATGCGGTGGCGTCTTACCGCGGCTACAAGTGCCAGTGGAAGGCGACCCCCTTCTGGCAGCCCGCAGTGGCGATCGTGCGGACGACGTCGGATGCGGCTACTCTGTTTATGAGCTGGAACGGAGCCACGGAATATGACAACTGGGCCATCTACACGGCCTCATCGGCAGATGCGGTTGACCCGACATTTGTCACATCGATCAAGCGCAACGGGTTCGAGACCACGGCGCATGTGACGGGACTGCGCACCAACTGGCTCCAAGTGGTTGCTCGGAAGGGTAACATTCCTCTGGGGACATCCGCCATGGCGTACTTCTAGACAGTGTTCTGACGCACAAATGACGGTTGGGATGGTGTTGAGCGAGGGTCAGGGTGTACATGCAGATTTTCATTGTATATATTGATGATTCTAAGTTTTGTAAATAGTATACCCTTTACAGCAGCATTCTGCTTGTTGCTAGCAATGATGAATAGAGCTATATGAAGTCCATCTAGCTTGACAGAACTTATTATTCTGGGCATTTGGCCAACACACTGCCAAAGAAGGCATCCTCTGACAGCCAGATAATCCTCCCTTCCAGACCAGACGTAACACGATGTCCCGTCCATCACGTACTTGTGTGTCCCATCCGCCTCTCTTGGGAGGACCAGTGCGACAGCACCGGCAGAGATGTGATGACCGTGCTTAGACTGGGAATATCTTCAGAGCACAAGTACCCGCAGCCAGACGTAATGTGCAACCAGCCAACATTATACGCAGTGGTGATTCAGCCAGACCAACGTATATAGACCCTTCACCCACCTGCCCACTGATCCAAACTTCCATAGTAACCATCGCACACCTCAAAACCACATCCCTCTCTAATACTTACTATCCCTACATCAAAATGAAACCCACCATCCTCCTCCCTCTCCTCCTCCCTTTAACAACCACCCACCCCACCCCCCAAGACACCATCACCACCAACACTATAACCCCAGGCCACGCCATAATCCTCAACACCTGCGCCTTCCCCATCTACGCATGGTCCGTTTCATCCACAGTCGGCCCGCAAATCACCATTCCCGCAGCTGCACCCGTCACCAGCAGCACCAGCAACAGCACCACCCAACAATACTCCAACTACACGGAACCCTACCACCATGATGCGCAAACCGGCGGAGTGAGCATCAAGCTCACGACTCTCCGGAACGGACTGTATACGGGTGCGCCGCAAACAATCTTCGCGTATAACTTTGTCGAGGGCCAGGATCAGGTGTGGTTTGATTTGTCGGATGTTTATGGCGACCCGTTTAAGGGGAGGAGGGTGAGTGTGCAGGTTAGTGTTGTTCAGGGCGGTGAGAATAGTGGTGGGTGGGAGGAGAGTATTGTTTGGGAGGATGGGGTGCCGGTCGGAGGGAGTCAGGTTAGGGTTGTCGGGGCGGAGAGGGATTTGGTGGTTAGATTGTGTTCGTAGGTTTTCTTTGGGGTTTGAGAGGGGGGGGGGGGGTTGGTTGTGAGAAGGGAGGAGGTGGTGTGGTAGTTTGTTGATGTGGATGCTGAGTGTTGTTGAATGTGATTTTGTTCTTTATTTATCGGGTTTAATGCTTGTTGTTTGGTCAGTAGAGGTGGAATAAGGGTCCTATGGCTGGATAGGTTCTGCTGGTGGGTACTAGGTGATTAGTATAGTACTAGGTAGTATGCAACTTGGGTAGGGTTGTGTGACTTGCCTGCGTGTATGGGGTGTTGGTGGAGGGTGTTTTGATCGGAGGTAGGGGATGTAGAAAGGCAAGCAGATGCTGGCTGCGAGTGATGTTTGTATGAGGATTCTGGTAGGCATTGTGTCACAGTAGAGATGTAGTGATGTGATGAAGAAGTAGTGGAGGGTGCTTGAGCAGATAACTATAGATGTATCATCTGCCTGAGGCTCCAAGGTACAACAACCCTATGAACTGGGTGGCTTCTTGACTTGCTTTCATAGAGAAAGTGGCAGTTGACAACTACCTCCCCCTGATTGGCGCCCGTGAGTCCCATGACCCCACGATTTCGGCCCCAATCATTGATAGTGCATCCTCCAGCTGCCGCCCGATTGGACCCGAGGCTGGCTCGGGCCTGCAGATAACTTAGCAGATGGGAGACTAGTAGCATACTTTACAGTTAGCACTCTCCCTGATGATGCGAAAAAATGCGGGGACCCGATGTGGGGGTCGGAAAATAACCTGGAGTAGGCTCCAGCAAAGCTGTCATGATGCATCTCTCCACCTTCAAGCATCCAGATAAGCTAACATCAGGCCACACTCGCAGAATGCAATCAACCCCCTAGTCATCATGGACAGGCCTTCCAAGCGGCCGCGGCTGTCAATGGCCTGCAACATCTGTCGTCAGCGCAAGGTCAAATGCGATGCAGAGTATCCCAAGTGCCGCAATTGCCGCCTGCGCAACCAACAGTGTATCACCACCGATCCCCAGAGACCAGGGGTGACTGGCATTCGAGAATGGCTGGATATACCAGACAAACAGACTCCCCAGAACGATGATCAGCCTCAGCATCCGGCAGTGGGTGATTCGAATCACCAGGAAGCGACCGACACCCCACAGAAGCTGTCGCCTAATGAGGTGTCGCCCGTGCATCATCCGTTCGACGTCTCGTTCAACGTCGAGCATGGCACCGACAAGGTCAAGATTATGGGTGGAAGCAGTTCGCAATGTTTGGCGAAATCCCTCGATGTCTACTTTAAGGCCGCCCGATTGAAACCAGTATCGGGCTGCTTCCGGTACGGAATGAGACACGCGGAGGAACTCGATCTGCCGTTGTCTTTGTCTTTGCCAGAGCTACCAGACAGTGACCGACGAGAACGCTATCTATCTGCCTATATATCTCGCATACACACTCTCTATCCTATCTTCAACACAACTCGGCTTCGCATGGGTACTGATCTCTTCGCCACGGCGGGTGGCTTCACCAATCTTCCGCGCGAACAAATTCCGCGAATCGTATCAGCGTACTTGATCATGAGTTTAGGAGCAGACGAGATAGGCCAGGGCGCAACAGTAGACGGCGATCGCTACTTGCAAGCAGCCGCGTGTCTGCTGTCCCATGTTATCATCATCCCGTATCTCCCGACCGTGCAGACTTTGCTACTTTTCACCATGGCATACCGCGGGCGTAACCAGGAAGGTCTAGCCTGGCAGACTCTGGGCATGGCTATTCGGACTGCGTATACACTGGGAATTAACCGGACCTCTACCTCCAATTCGGAAGGGAAGAACATCGAGCGACGCGTGTGGGCCGTGTGTTGGTGTCTGGAGAAGATGATGCATCTGGAATCGGGACGGCCGACTGTCATTGGATATCAGCAACCTAAGCCAGAAGATGCTCTAGGAGAGAGTAAATTCCTGAAGTGGCACATCGAGCTTGGAGAATACCAAGGCAATATCAGTCATCATCTGTACAGCCACCAATCAGGGACAAGGGACGTGCGACAGATCCTCTTGGACACAGCGCGACTAGACCGCGAGCTGCTATCCTGGGCGAATCGGGTCCCTACCGACATGCGTCCGGGGAGTGATATTTTCTGCGCAGACGAGGAGTTTCATGCAGCTGCTTTTCTGTCCATTCAGTACCACAGCACCCTAATCTCGCTGCATCGTGCCGCCCTCATCGCACCGACATCGAGCTTTGAGGAAGAAGTAACGAAATATTGCTCCGATGAGCCATCGCAGTTTCGAATGCGTCATGGCGAGTCAATCTGCGTGGGCAGCGCTCGAGCGATTGCTAAACTTAGTGTTCAGCTGTCAGAACGCAAGACAGACTCGCAGACTATCCCGGCCGGCCCATCCCTTCTGGCTTGCATTGTACTGGCTATCTTTCTGATTAAGCATCCGGGTTCGCGGTTGCAGGCCATGGATTTGCAGGTATGATGTGCTCCCACTTACTGTGGAATTAAGTTAACGAGAACAGCTTCTCAAGGCATGTCTAGAGTATAGTAGTCAGCACCTATCTCGATACGATCCCGATCCCCGATTCATAGAAGGTATGATGGCATGAACTATGAGGGGAGCGTATCAACTAATCTGAATAGGTATCGCGGCTATCTACGAACAATGCAACACCCATCTCCGGTCCTGGTCGGCCGCAGAAGCCAAAAGGCGTCCACACAGTCGTGACAGCCTCACAAAACTAAATCCACTTCCTACCCCAGCAGTTGACGAAGCGCTGCCACCTTGGAGGCCTACCGAAGTGATGCAGCCAAGTGATCTGCACAAACAGAGCAATAGTGGATACCAGTCCCAGCGTGTGATACAATCAGCCGTGTCTACACCTGCTATAGACCATGGCCAAGACCATCTAGACTCATTAGGATTTTCCAGCACATCAATGCTAGATGGATTTGTCGCGGAGGGTGTCAACATGGACCAAGTCTTTCCCTTCGAAGGATACAATGTGGAGGAGCTGTGGAATTGGATGGGATGCTTAGATAGTCCGGGATCGATGCCTGATATACGATAATTTTCTACGAGGGGAATAAGAAACTGTAACTAGTAAGAATCAACAATTGTGACATTTAATTACAAACTACATTATTAAACAACGAACGACTGCAACAAAACAACGAACGACTGCAACAAAACAACACACTACTACTACTACCAACGACCTAAGCAGCAACCTCAGCAGCACCCCCCTCCATCCTCTCCAAATACGGAATCCCCGTCAACTTGAACACCCTCTCACTCAACACCGGCTCCTGCACCGGTCTCTCCCTCGCCACCGGACAAGGCTCCCCATCCCTCATAGCAATATTGGTCTTCGCGACATGTTTGGCATGCGGCCAATGCGTTGTTCCCAACCGACCTACCCAACAATCCATTAGCAAAAACCCCAAACCCCCAAACCCGAAATAGAAAAACTCACTCTCAAAAGCCCCCTTCTTCCTAACCAAATCCTCCTTCTCAACCTCCCTCACCGGCATAAAGCAGGTATAAACCGCAAACCGATCCTGTCCACCCGTCGGGGGCACATTATAGTGCGGCGTGCGACTATCCCAGACGATCAAGTCGCCAGGCTCAGCACATACCTTCTCCCATTTGAGTCCGTGGTCCGCGAGCCACTTCATCCCCGCATCGGTAAACCCGAACCATTCGGTCGTCCAGGCGGGAATGCGCTCTTCGTGCGCCATTTCGGTGTGGAATTGGGCGGAGAGCGCGTGCCCGCCTTTGCAGACGATTAGGCCGCCGTCGTTGGGGCCGTTGGGGAGGAGGTTGACGAGGCCTTGGAGGCCTGGTATTATTTTTAGCTTAGTTGGGTTGCTTTGGGGGGAAAGTAGGGAGTAGGGGGTGGAAAGTGGTGAAGGGAACGTACATCTGAAGCCTGGTTTAGAGGGGTCTTGGTCTTGGTGGGGCCAGGGTTTGCTTTATTCATATTAGTATTGTTTTATCTCACTTGAGAAAATGGAAGTTGGTGGTGGTATAGATACTCACTTCTCAGGCAGATCTTCCCGACTACACACAGAGAAACCAACATATTAGCATCACAACACAGCAATACTAGGAGAAGAGAAAAAGAGGGAGGGAGAAATACTTAGCAAACCCCACATTCACCACATCAAACGAAACAATTAAATCCTCATCATCATACACTTTCTTAAACGCATCCACTACCCCTTCCTCACCACGAATATCCCACACCCACTGCTCATGTGTTACGCCGTAGTCGAGTATCATACCCTTTTCATTCAGCACGGGGAGTTTGGCCCGTCGGACGGTGCTGGGGTCGTGTCGGTTGTAGCCGAGGTTACTGTCATCATTTTCAATTAGTATTTCATTTACATTATGGGAAAGGGGAATGTGAGGTGAAGGAAGTAAAGGGATGATTACAATCCCTCCATATACGAGTAGAACGCATCCGCGTATCCTTTAGCCCGATCGAGTGGGATGGCTCCCTTGATGACGGCGTAGCCATCGCGGTTAAGTGCATCGCGGAAGTCGCCGTAGTTGGTGGATTTGCCGTCGAGAAGCATGCGGTTTTGGCCTTGGCCGTAGACTTGGCTTTTGGGAGGCTCCGCGGTGGTGGTCGTGGTTGTGGTTGTGATAGTGGCTGTGGTGGACATTTTGGTGTGTAATCGTTATTGTTGTGGTACTGTTTGTGGTGATGTTCACTTTGAAATGTGGGTGAGTATGGATTGAATTAGGTACTGGATTCAGTCTGTACTTATCTTCGTGGTGGATTTGGATCTTTGTCATATTATCTTTTGGTTCAGGTATAGTGAGTGGTTTACTGCGCCGGGAGGTGGCCGATTCTGTTAGGGTTCGGAGGGCTCGGGGCGCCCCGAGGTGGGCTCCGAGGGTCGGTGGTCGCCGAGAGATGGATGCCGCTTTGATGGAACGGTCATAACAAAAAGGTGCGTGGTCATCTCTCATTTATTCTCATTCATAGTAATCAGAGTAAGACAATCATCATGACATTCAACATCATCATAGTAGGAGGCGGCATCGCCGGATTCGCAGCCGTATGTACACACCTCCTTCTTGATCATAAGCAAACTAACAGAAGAATAGGCAATAGCACTCCGCTCCGATCACCACACCATCACCATCCTCGAACAATCCTCCCAATCGCGCGAAATCGGCGCCACCATCTCTCTCCAACCTAACGCTAGCAAAATCGTCGAGCAGCGATGGGGCCTCGCGGACCGTCTCCGCGAACATGGTTCGATGCCTGACTCCGCCTTCGAAGTATATAACCTCCGCGGAGAGCTGCAGACACGCGTTCCCTTGGTGACATCCAAGTATGGAGCAGATAGAATGATCTACCACCGCGTCGATCTGCATCAAGTGCTGAAAGATCGGGCTACATCGGATGAGTATCCGGGGCGGCCTGCTACGGTGCGGGTGTCGAGTAGAGTGAAAGGATGTGATTGTGATGAGGGGGTAGTTGAATTAGAAGACGGGGAAATACTGAAAGGAGACTTGATCATCGGTGCGGATGGTATCAAGAGCGTTATAAGAGGTGCAGTACTGGGGAGGGAAGTACCCGGTCAAACGACTGGATTGAGCGCATATCGCATGATGGTAGGTACGGACGAGCTGATGGCTGAGAAGGGTTTCGTGGATGTCATTGATCCACGAATTGCGAGGACAACTATGGTTGTTGGTCCTGATCGACGACTTATTATGGGTCCGGCGCGGAATGGGTCTGTCTATAGTATCGTTGCGCTGGTGCCGGACGAGAAAAGGGATGAGGATTCCACGAGTTGGATGACTGCTGGTGATAAAGGGAAGATGCTTGCTACGTTTGCGGACTTTCCGGAGTGGGCGACGACGCCGTTGCGGCTAGCAGCCAGAAAAGAAGAAGATATTGGTCTTTGGCAGTTGAGGGATTTGGATCCGTTAGAGACGTGGTGTCGGGGGAGGACGATTTTGATTGGTGATGCTGCACATGCGATGCTGCCGACGCAGGGACAGGGTGGAAGTCAAGCGGTTGAGGATGCTGAGGCGCTTGGTGCTTTCTTTGAGGGGTTTAAAGGGGGCGAAGGGAGAGAAGGGGTTGAGAAGGTGTGTCGGGAGGTTTTTGAGTGTCGGTATAAAAGGGCCAGTACAATCCAGGCGTATAGTCGCCAGGCGGGAAGGCCGGTGGAGGAAGATGTGAGGGTCGCGATGAATCCGGCAGAGTTTATGGACTATAATTGCTTGTATGAGGGGGCGATGGCCTGGAGGAGGCAGCAGGAGGCTGTAGTTGCTTGATTAATCACAGGTTATTATATCCTTATTTCATCCTGATATCACGATTCTACGATAGTTCTGTGAATATCTGGAAAGTAAGATTGGGACAACATTAGCCTATCAATAACCCAGATAGGCTATCGATGCCCAATACCCGCACCCAACGCATGGATGACGGGTATCACCAAGACTTCGTTGGCGCACATACGCAGTCTCTCAGACGTATATGAAATATCAGCCAATTTCTCTGACGGGTCACCCAATACACAGCCTAAAGCGAAATTATACTCTCAAGCGTGCTGAGGTTAAACCCTCAAATACGCGAAAATGGAAGAGCCAACTTATGATCCGAGGTATATAACCCACCTGCCTCCGCGACGCCCTCTCTAATTCAAATAGTCGTCCCATGCCGGCCCTGGAGATTGTGTATGTACACAAGATCGTCAACTGTCCGGGAAAGACAATTGTTGGCCTGCGCGTGGATTTCCCTCCAAACGGATCGACTCCACCCCATCGACACGGCGGCGCTTCGGTCTCGGCCTACGTCGTTAGCGGCACACTCCTGAACAAGATGAATGAGGACCCAATGAAGGTGGTTCCTGCAGGAGGCTCTTGGTATGAAGCCCCGGGGTGCCATCACCGCATCAGTGACAATGCCAGTTCGACAGAGCCGGCCACACTCATGGCTGTTATGGTCTTGGACTCGGAGGTATACGAGCGCGATGGGATGGCAGCCTTGTTTCAGATTGATGAGGAGTACAAGCATAGTTAGAGCCTTCAATTGGGCCTAACCACCCTGACACTAAGCTGTAGCTGAGGTGGCGAGTGATTGTATTGGAGTTGAGCACTTACAAGTACTGGGGTCAAGGACGTGATGTGTGATAGGCCTTATGTCCATATTTTCTTATATGTGATCATTTTCATCCTTAAGAATACAAGTTAACTCCCGTACCGGATACCAGATCCATTGACATTGGGCCCTGATAGTATGAAGCGGGAGAATTTGTCAGCCCAGATGGCAAGATAGAAGTTGACTGGCCATGTTTAAATAAACAATTCCTATCTAACTCTTGAGTGCAGACCAAATACTGGGACGTAAAGGCTGTTGTACTCATGGCGACCGTAGCAGCTAGAAGCGTCACTCGGCTGACGGCCAGGTAAGCCCCAAACATCTAGATCGATAGGAGACCAACTAATCAAGCAACAGGACATTATCCAAGAGAACATCAATTCTCACACCCTTCATAAAGTCCAGGATGAGCTCCTCATCCGCTACAGTAGCAACAGCAACGTCTCCAGAAATAGACGATGCCACTGAATCAGCAAAAGCCAGCTATCATATCGTCACCTCACACCACAACTTCCATGAAACCGAATCCCAAAGACCCAATTTCGACCACAATGCCCCCATCAATATCACCAAATCGCCTTACCCTAGCTGGAAATACGGCCAAGGAGTTCCCGACAACAATTACAGCGCCAGCAAAACCCACCACGAGATCGATCCCTACGCTGAGGATCGCCTAATGGTCAACAACTACCGACTGCTCGTGTCCGGCATCGCACCCCGACCCATAGGCTTCATCAGCACCGTCTCCAGCGATGGCAAGACCGAAAATCTTGCGCCCTTTCGCTACTTGCAAGTGGTGGATCACGACCCACCCATGTTCATTGTCGGGTTCTCATCCCGCCCTGGCGCAGTCAAAGATAAGTATCGGAACCTGAAAGAGACTGGTGAGTGCGTTATCAACACTGTTTCCGAGGGTATGATTGAGGCAGTGAACGCGACGTCAATTGATGCCCCGTATGGAGTGTCGGACATGAAGGTATCGGGTCTGGGTAAAGCGCCTAGTTCGACTGTCAAGGCAGCGAGGGTTAAAGAGTCGGTTCTCTCTGTCGAGAGTAAGGTTCTCGATATTAAGGAGTTCAAGGCGCATAAGCCGGGCATGGGTTCTCCTGCGGTGGTTTTGATCCAGGCAACGAGGTTCTGGGTGCAGGAGGGTGCGGCGGATGAGGAGTTTAGTCATATTGACTTAGAGAAATTGAGGCCTGTGGCGCAGTTGGGTGGGGTGTCATATGGGAAGACATCGTCGATATTTGAGAGGCCTAGGAAGAAGTGGGATGATGATGTTGGGAAGAGTGAGTTGTTGGCTGAGTTGGAGAGGAGGAATAAGGGCAGTTCGTGAACAGGATTGTGTCCTGCGAAAAGATTATGCCTCGCATTATATTGGACTTAGCATGAGTGTCAAGAAATTATATGCATATTCTTGAGGAGTGCATGGAGCCATGATTGATCTGGGCGAGATATATTCTAACATCTCAGTAAACCGCAAACACGGACATCGTGTTGTAGCATACATGAGTTGTAGCATTCGTGCCTGACTATCAAGGCATCAATATAATTGGCAGATAAGGTGAAGGCGGACATCAGAGTCATTCCGACGGACCGGCATCGGCCCTTGAACCCGACGACCAGTGACTGTTAAACGGCCATCCCAGAAGTACATCCGAGTGCGAAACCAAGGCAACAAAACATACATATCATCAACATATACTTGAATCTTGCTTCATCATGTCTTTTCTCCGCCTTTCTACAAGGGCTTTACCAGCCAATCTGCTCCCCCGCCAGCACGCCGCCCGCCGCACCATTGCAACAGCAAGCAAGAAGGAATGGCTATGCATTATTCCTGATACACCTGAGGGTCCCGAACTGAGAAAGAAAGTTCGAGCGTAAGTTTTCTTCTACTCCCATCTAGGTGTAGCGTAGCTCAACTATCCTCGTTAACAATAACACAGGACTCACATGGAAGGAGTTGGCCCTCTCGTCCAGGCGGGAAAGCTAGTCGCAGGTGGTTCGTCTCACATCATCCTATTCACTTCTAATCGAGCCCTACCCTCTCATTATAGTCGTTTAACTTCGTCTGGATAGGTGCGATGTTGGCCACTCATCCCGAGGAAGGCAAAGATCTGTCATTCAAGGGCAGTATGCTTGTGTATATGGCTGAAAACTTGGAGGAAGTGCACCAGCTTATTAACGGTGATATCTACGCTCAGAGCGGTGTCTGGGATCTGGGGAAGGCGCTTGTTGTTCCGGTGAGTAATTTGCTTCTGTTCTTTTGGCTGAGGTGCTGTGAGCTGGGTTATGCTGATAATGGATGCGTGCAGTATTTGTCGGCCGTGAGGGAGCCTTTGAAGAAGGACTAGTAGAGACTATCAATTTTGAGTGTCTCGGGGAGTAGCGGTGCTATTTTCCCTCGATATATTAGAGAGCGGCCATCGTTGAGCACATATAATTTCTGACGGCACTTGCGGCAGATTGAGCATTTAGACTATCCGATATGTAACAGGCATGTATTTTCTCAGTTTGTTCCTTATAACTGGCCGAAAGTACTCAGACAGGAATGTAGTGTATGGTTACGACCTCAGAATCTCCTGTGTTCGGTAAGCCCTTGCGTTGGTGGCATGCAGGTAGTGAGGATACTGCAGACAGTGGCCCAGCGATATAAGCCATAAAATCAGAGCCAATCTCAAGAACAAGGGACGATGGCGCATCTGGGAGCGCGTCAGACTGAAGATCTGGAGGTGGCCGGTTCAAGCCCGGCTCGTCCCATTCTTTTTTTTTTTACCGAATCTCGGCATGGTGGGTCCCATCCGGCCCTATACAACGAACGCGGGTGTTCAGACTCACCAATACGGATGTGTAATTATGGTAGAACGTCTAGCTGTATGATGAAGGAGAGGCCAGTTAGTCCTGGCTTTTCTTCTATCTTACCTTTATGACTCGTATGCTATGGTGACGTGTCAAGAGATTTCGATTTCTATTTTTGTTCTTAACCCGGCGTTGGCTGCGGGTTGAGTAGTATGTCCGACTGCATGGAGGCGTTCCATGAGATGCAAGTATACAACAGTGTTGCACTCCTTATCTGGGGATATATATGGAAGCCTGGCTCTGGTTGGATATATTTCGACACCTACTATTGCGTGCAAGGATGAATTACATAGTAATGTTCATCGACTTAACCCAACGCGCGGATATATATAGCTGTCAGTGCAGCGGACATTGACAGTTAAGCCAACCAACCTTGACTAGCCTCGATAATTTGCGACCACTAAGAGGTCATAGAGCAATGTCAAACTCTCTCAAAGCAGTAATCTTACCATAAGCTCTGATAGTAGTCGTAATGGCTTCATGGCACATCTCATGTATTGCGCAGCTTGTGCTTGTACTAGCAAATACGTCCTCTTTTATGTAGCACTATGTGGGTCCAATTAAACATCAATTGGCCTGCTGGCCCAATGGTAAGGCGCTTGACTACGGATCAAGAGATTGCAGGTTCGAATCCTGCGTAGGTCATTCTTTTTTTTTTTTGATTTCTACACTCTCCATTTATTTTATCTCTACTACGTGACAACACAACTAGGCGACTGTTCAACGTACACCTGCCCATATCTTTGAACCACTTGTGTTCCATCACCACCTTTTTAATATCTTCGACGACCTGTGTCACATTCTATGATCAAAACGAGCTTCACCCCAGGCTCCACGTCGTACAGCCATTTGACTCCGTACACCATTTGATCTAATCAACCATCACATCTATAAGATCCTCAATATCCTTCACAGTGACATTCTTTTGCATCTCCCGCGCCAGTGACACGGCACATGAGACAATGTTCTTAATCTGCAGCACATGTTAGCTTGCTTGTGACCTTAGAAACACCGAAAGCTGACGAACCTGTCGCCCATTCAGCGCATGCCTGGAAAGCGTTACAAAGTCATCGGCGGTAAATTCAGCCAGCTCGGACGATTTTGCGACATTGGTCAAGAAATTCTTCCACACTTCTAGTCGGCTATTGGTATCAAGCTCTGGGTAGTGCATGGTGAAATGGATTCGACCTGTGACAATGGTATCAGGAACTGCATACACTATTCAGTAAGGCAGAATCTTACTTTTGAAGGCCGGATCAATGTCGCTTTTTCGATTTGTGGTGAGTATGGCGACACCGCGGAAACTATGATGGATATTAGCTCAGGCCGACATTTCATATCACGGGATACTTACTACTCGAGTCGTCGGAGGAAGACGCTGACCAGAGCATCCCTCGCTAGGTCCTTGCCACGAGCCGAAAGGAACACATCTGCTTCATCGATCAATAGAACACAGCCCCACCTCCGGGTGATCTCTAAGATCATCCCCAGACGATTGTCGACTATATCAGGGTCGATTCCAAGCTCGCCGGTAGCTACCACATACAGAGGTCGCTGGGTCACTTCGGCAACGGCTTCTGCAGTCAACGTCTTACCCACACCCGGGCTTCCGGTCAGGAGCGCAATAAGACCTTTGCCTTTGTTCGCAACAATATCGTCAAAGACCGCATCATCCTGTCGATGGGCTTTGACAAGTCCATGGATAAGTTCTCGGCGGTTTTCGGCCATGACTAGTCGTTTGAAGGCATTGTGGTTCCATTCTACATCGGATAACGCCGACACCGAAAGTTGACACCAGGACTTTTGTGCAAAGCTGAAACCATTGATGAACGAGGCACAAATCAAGTATTGGTCATCAGACAAGCCGACAGTATCCAAAAATCCTTCTGATAGTACAAAAGGTTTGTTCAACTCCGACGATGTGTTATGGAGATAGTAACCAGCCGGGTCGACCATGACTCTCCCCAATGCCTATATAAGCGAGTCAGCGCCAATTTCCAAATTGGAGTAAGAGTTGCAGTCAAACATTAAACTTCTCAGGCACGGAGTCACCGTTGGCTCGTTCGAATTCCTTTATACCGTTTGCAGCCGTATACTCTCTGCATGCAGGCTGTTCGAGTAGCGCAACGAATTTACGCCCGCGGGCAATGAGCCTTTCTCGCACGGCAGATTCATCGTCATGGTATCTGAGCGGGAAGAAGTTCAAGCTAGTAATTGTTCGCGCACCATCATATTTGTTGATTTCTAGCTCCATTGTCGATTTACCAAAGTCTTGACCGTCATGTTTGATAACTTCGGAACTTGCAGAGAAGTATTCCTGGCCATTTGGACGTGACTGATAACTAGACATCTTCAGGTTGAAGGCCTGCTCTTCAGTCATAAGGCCAAATCGGGGTGATACAATAATTTCTTTGGGCGGGAAAATTGCCCAAAGAAGGTCCCAGGTGATCTGATTCTCACTCAGAAGAGATTTCAAGCTGACAATCTGAGCTCCAAAATCTTCTTCAACAAATTGCAGAGCCGTGCCAATATCATCGATAAGTTGTTGGCTGGGTTTTTCCTTCTGCTTCTCCTCTTCTTTGATACGTATCAAATCCGGGGCGGCCCAGAAGAACACCTCGGGTGTAGCCTACAGAAATTCGTCACTCAGTGGAGCTTCAAAAGTCCGTATGAGCTGACGAACCATGGGGGGACTCTTATTTAAGTCAAGACCCTCTACATCTCTGAAAAGATCACGAAACAAATCTTGCAGGAGAGGAGACCGGATGTCAATCTCGACGTGGGAGACCATGCCCTGCTTTGAAATAACTCGGCGAACGACCATTGCAGTCTTACTGAAACGATCAGGTTTGGCCTTGGCTTTTGCCGTTTTAACGAAGTGAACTTGTCGGTCCTTTCTGTATCCATGTTAATGGCCCGGCTGTCTGAGGTTCGACGCAATGCTTCGCTACCTGCTATATCTGTTGGAGCGAACTCTAGTTAGCACCCCCTTTACCAAGACCTAAGGTACGGTCTCAAATCTCACATCTGATCCACGCGCAACAAACGCTGAGACTTGTTGCCACGGTCCGTCATGGCGCGCTGGATGGATGGCTTGGAAGGCCCGTCTGAGGGCTTAGCCGCCGCGGCGGATTCGGTCTGATCGGCCATGTCGTTTTTGCGTGCTGATAATGTCTACAGTGGTACATGAAATGAGAACAGACGAATGCTGAACAAAAGGCGGAAGAATTGGCGATTGGAGCAACTTATGCTTGGAGAAAACAAGGCTGTCGACACTTGGCTCGTATTTGGGATGTGGGCCAGGTCGTCTGCAGTGGGGGTGGCTGCTGATGCTGTCCAAGGCTTCAAGCTCATCCTTCCCAGTCCATGCGTCAGCACAGCGACAAAGTTGCGCCACCATTTCTGCCCAACTCAATGTACCAAAAGACTTCCTTCTATTATAATAGTGGAGGCAATAACTTGTTATCCGGGAAGTGCTTTATACAGAACTTTTTCTTTTTCACCAATAGAGGCTAACCCTGCTGCCTTTCAGGGCCTCGAGACGACAGGGTGCCGAGCCGTGCCGCGCGGCGCTAACCCTGGCCCCCCGCAGGATCACTCAGATTTTAGTCTGACAGCCTTATCAGTTATCACACTAGGTTAACTATATGTGACTAGTTATCCTCATGCAAGGGCTGACGTGTGCACCGGCGGGGTAGATTGCAGACTGTCTTCTGTCCTATTTCTCAGAGTAGTGAGGCGCGCATAGTCCCCAGCATAGAGCCTCCCGGTGGGACCAGACCCGGTCTATTACTTAAAGTTATTATCTCGCGTGATCTCAGCGAACAATTCTGGTCCTTGACAAGGCTGCCGATTGTGCCATTTTCTCACAATGCCCGAGGATGCCAGCGAAACTGTGGGAGGAACAGGCTCAACTGCCTTTGCGCGTGCGCTGGAAGAATATATCAACAAACCCCGATCGGCGAGAAGCAAGACCCCCCAGTTTCTCAAAAAACTGCAAGAACAACAACGTTCCGGCTCAGTTCTTACTGGAGATGCCATCAAGAAAGACCTTTTCCTTTTGGATCGCCAGGCGACAGATCGCACAGCCGCTCGTGCCGCTCGCAAGATCTTGGGACCGGTTATACAGGTGCTTAATACCTACTCAGGAATTGTCGAAACTCTGGTCTCAGCAGATCCCATGCCTACGGCTATAATATGGGGCTGCTTGAAGTCTGTGATCGACTGCTCGCAGAGGTTCCTTGAACTCTACGAAAAGATATCCGATCAGATCAAACGCTTAAACACACACATCACCGTGCTTACAGAATATGAGGATTTATTCGATCACTCCGCTACGATGCGGGAGCTATTGCAAGCATCGTATATCGACATCATTCGGTTTTGGCGAAGGGTTGACAAGGAGTGTAACCGCTGCGTGGCTAATCGTGCCTTTCGAGCGATCGCCCCTTTTAGTACAGAAAAGCTCGATGGCATTATCACGAGCATTGGAGATACGGCCGACAGCATGAGTCGTCTTATTCCTGCCGTTCAGGAACGCCTAGACAGAGGAGAGCGGGAAAATGCAGCCGAGGAGCGTCGGCTTGCCGGTATCGCGCGAGAAGAACAAGCAGCACTTATCCAAATGTATGCGGAAGAGATGGAGAAACGGAAAGAAGAAAGGAGACTACAAAGGCAGGAAGAGGTACGAAAGTGGTTGCGAGATGGGACTATGCCACTGAATGGGAGCAACTTTCGCCACCGTGACAGCAAGCTGGCGCAACGAAGCCCAGGCACTTGTGACTGGGTATTTGAGCATGCAATTTTGAAAGATTGGATGGACAAAGATAGCCCAGCCTCTCAAGTATGGGTGAAGGCTTCTCCCGGAGCTGGAAAGACTGTATTGACTGCGTCTGCTGTTGAAAAGCTGGAAGCGACCAGCGCTGAAAATGCTGCCGTCATATACCATTACTTTACTTTTGATGAAGAATTTCCAGCCTTATTGGTCTATCGCTGCCTTGCAGAGCAGCTTGTCAACCGACTGGGAAAACAAACCGGCGACGTGCCCAAGGACATCCACAAATTTACACAGGAAGGGGCTACAACCGCTAATGTTGAAGATGTCAAGCAAGTGATCAGAATGCTCCTGGAAGAAATGGCCGTTACCTACATCTTTCTCGACGGGCTTGATGAGGAGTGCGAGACAGAGAACAGAAAGAAAGAGCTTTGCAAGGTGTTGGATTTTTTTGGGGAGCTGAGCCGTGCTATGCCAAGTCGCCTGCGCATTTGGTACAGTTCTCAGCACCGCACCTGTCTCGATGCTCCCCTCAGTAGCCTTCCATCCATCGAGATCACGAAGGAGTTGAATAGCCACGACATTGAGCACTATCTACTAAACAAGATCGAGGACCTGAAAAGTCTCGAGTTTGATGCAGGGTACATCAGGTTGATCATTGGTGATCTGCGCGAGAAAGCCGACGGATGCTTTTTGTGGGCTTCACTAATGTTAGACTCTATGTCGGACGCAGTGACCCTTCATAAGGTTCAAAGTATCATTGAGGGAGGTCTTCCCGACAGCTACGAAAAGTACTACCAGAGAAAGATGGACAGCATCCGGCCTGGTCTAAAGGAATTTGCTTCGTACGTAACTCTGAACGCCCGCGACGTGGTTTAGAAAACTGCTAACCTGGAGCTGCTAGGATTATTCTATCCTGTATCGTGCATGCAAAACGCCCATTACGCCTGGATGAGCTTTGTGAATGTACGGCGATGGTGAAAGGCATTGAAGGACAGAATATCGATACCAGTCAAAAAATCAAGAAAAGCAAGGTGCTGGAGTTATGCCAACCTCTTGTCCAGATCCATGAAAGCGATGGGCCAGCCGGCACCATCTCGATCTGCACGCTGACTCATGGCTCGGTCAAAAGCTTTCTGTTGAAGAACCCAGAGATCTTGGCAAACAACTCCAATCCACCAGCATATGCGCTCACAAATGATGTTTTGGCGAATGTATGCCTCAAGTATCTCCTGCAGCCACGGTATCAGCAACTTCTTACCAGGGAGGGCGAAACATTCGTCGATTGCGATGGGGAGGACATTCTTAATCACCATCTTCTCTCTTATGCCGCCAAATACTGGGATAAGCACCTGGATGGCGTCAATTATTCATTGGACTATTGCCAGAAAGCCTCAAGTTTTATCAGAAGCCCACAGTTCTTCACATTGCTACAAGTTCAGAGTCTCTTTGTCGACGGTATGTTTGATAAAGCTCCAGACCTTTTGAAGGGCCACGTTAAATAATGAGTGACATAGGCCAATTTCGCTTCTGGTACAGTACTTACCGTCCATGGGCTGGCAGACATATTAAGCGCGTATTTCCTCATTGGTTGGATTATAACTGCAATGAACCCTTCGCAGAGGACTATGCATCCTTTGTGGGGGAGTGGGGACCACTGTTGGACCGTGAGACAAGCATCACGGGCGCCTTCGCAGGCGAAATCGATCGATGCTTTCCTGGGGCCTTGGGACCCAACAACTACCTTTACAATGGACCCAGTCGGTACCGAAGTCTGATGTTTACGGCAGAGACTGAGCCGATTGAGCCTCCAATTCGGTGCTTTGAAGGGGTTGACGAAACGGGAAGGTATCTGACAGTACTGAACCTGGAAAAGGTGTAAGTGCCACAGCCCCACGTTGTCGTTTTTCATGGCTTATTGATGTTATAATTACGAGTAGTAGCGAAGACAGGCTACAATTTTGTTGCGAGCATTGGCATCTGAATGGTCGCAAACCCGAGCTTCAAAGAACTCAAAAGTTGTATGCATCCGCCTCAACCTGGTCTCTTTACGAGTATCCCTTGACGGAGAATGTTCCGGGCCGACCTCGACTGGTTTCATTCACTAAAGACCTGAAATTCGTGCGCATTGGGTCTCAGCTGTTTTTCAAGGGCGTTGATCTTGATTATATGTCCCTACCTGTGACTGATCCCGACGAAGATTATTTCGATGAAATGGCTAGCAACAACAATATGGTTGCTGTGTCAACAAGACGACAGATCTCCAAGTCCGATGTGGAAATTCCAGGTGCAGTTACTGGCGATGTGAGAATTGTTGACTATGCGGACATAGCGATCCAAAAGCGAGAAGAGGAGGTAAGCAAGTTGGATCAAGGAAGTACGGCCGCCCCAACTTCAACTGCCGATATACAGCCAACTGCTACCATTACGAAAAGCAGTGATGACGATAGTGATAGTGGGACCATTGACACCGATATCACATCAGAATCTTCATTGAAACTAGAAGACCCAGATGAGTTCCAACCATCGACCGAGAAAGACAAGGCGCTGGAGCTCGCAACAAAGGTGTCAAATTGTACAGAAGAACTCATGAAAAGCTCTTGCGAGTCTGCCGGAAACTCGGCTTATACCTCTTGGAGCGAGGGATCCACTGATCTTGATGATGAAGTGGAGGACGAAGAGCAATGGAATGATTGGGACCTTGAGAATTTGGAACTGGAAGAGCTCGATGTCGAAGAGAAGGGAAGCTTTCTTGGCAGCGACGACGGATACAGCAGCGGTGATGAGCGGAAAGGTGCTTTGGAGCTACATGATGATCTGGCGAGTGACATTTCGGAGTCAGATAACGCGAGTGACGCATTGGAAAAAAGAAGTGATATGCTACTATCGGACTCTGATCGTAGTGACGTTTATTCGTCGACGAACTACAGTGTCTCTAGCAGCGAATACGGCTCGGATGATGAAAACCGCGGCATACTCGAAAACATGATGACCGGAAATAAGACCACGAGCACCGAAGGGACTCGTCGCACAAGCATTCGAGTGTACGATGCTACCAGAAAAGATCGCATCCCCGTATTCCACTTTACCTGCTTTATCAAAGACAGGTTGTTCGACTCACCTCCGGTGTTCCACCCTTCCAAGCCCCTCCTGGTCTGGCCACTGGGCGATGGGGAAATTCTGTTTGCCAACTATGAGAAGAACACGTATTTTACACGCGGGCTATGTCGTTCGGGCTATGGCAGCTGCCACATCTTCATCAAGGCACACTTCTCGAGTGACGGTCGGCACCTGCACCTCGCGGCCTTGGAAGCTCGTGAGGCCGCCAAATCAGACAAGGAGGAAGCCTCCGTACATATCAGCCTGCAGGTCTCAACACATCGACTCTCCGAGCACAAGACTGCTAGTAGCCCGCCTCAAATGATCTTCCGCACCACTGTTGAGCTCGGTAACACCCCTAAGTTGCCTGTGTCCAATCTCCCTCACTTCCTAACATGGAGTGACACACATCTTTTCTTCACAAGCCGCAACAACAAGCTCGATGTCCTTCGAATTCCCCTCTTCCGCCCCCCGGGCGACAACGTGGATCTGAACATCTGCTCCCTACAAGAACCCATATTTTTGCCACGTTCAGTCGAAGCACGAAACATGTACTTCTTCCCATCTCAGGAAACAACGAAGAAAACTTCACGGAAGAAGGCCACAAAGTCAGCAACGCTTATTCTAGGTGCACAGACCTGCCTCCCAAGCCAAGGAATACTGGTACCCCGGCACATGTGTTATCCCCCGATCGCGGTATTTCTGCGTGAGGACAAGGATTTAGTCTGGGCTTGCAAGTCGAATGTTGATGAGAGTAGGAAGATCAATACTGCCTGTGGCAGGTTGCGGGGGAAGTTCGAGTCGTTTGATCACAACGAGGATTGTGATATTATTCCGTATTTGTTTTGATGTGAGCTTCAACTCTGGCTAAACTCTGGATTTGTCGTACCTCTATGGAGAACATCCCACTGCAGAATTTATACGAAAGTCAGAAGACGAATCAGTAATGATAGAGATTAGGTGCTCCGTACTGGAGCGAACGGGTCTAGAATTTATATCTAATCAAACGTAAGAGGATCAAACGTAGGCAAAGAAGATGATGATGTTCAATTGTAACTATCTAGAGTCTTCCTTGCAGAAGATGTAATGCAATTAATGTACGAATGAGGAAGGTGCGGTATGCCCGCTGCAAATACCCCCCTTCGGCAAGGCGACGTCCCGACGCCTTTACGGGTTCGCATTCGCTTGAGGGTTGTTTGCTGGCTGGTTCGCGTTTCCTTGAGGGTTGTTTGCTGGCTGGTTCGCGTTTCCTTGAGGGTTGAGCAGATCGATCGCGGCACGCATAGCCCGCCGAACAGCCGCCACGCCAGCCGGATTGTTTGTGTGTTGGGCCACGGCGTGCATGCAGATCTCCCCCAGGTGCCCGAGCAGTCGTGGGCGGTGTATCTCTCTTGCTAGGGCCTCATACTCGCGTGATAGTTGTCCCATGCGCAGCGCGATGCCGCGGAGGTCCTGCTGGAGCTGACTAGAGCGCTCGATGGTGCGGACTAGGGCGTCTGACCAGTTGCCGCCGAGTAGGAGTGGTGCTGCGGCCGTACTAGGAGTAGGGGGAGCCGGTGGAGCAGGAGGTGCCTGAGGAGCAGGAGATGCCTGAGGGGCAGGAGGCGCCGGATAAAAATCATGTGCGGTCATGTTTGCCACTCGAACCGTTCTAGTTGCCACGTTAGGCGGTAGAGTATTCGCAGGCGGGTTTATGGTTATCGGATTGGCAGCGGGTGCACGTGTGTCCGTCATATTAGGTATAACAAGGTCGCTCCAGGTGTCCGTTTGGGTACGGAAAATGGAGACGGGACGTTCAGTCTGTGCGGTAGCGCCGACAACCACTGGCTTGTATATGAATGTCTGTGTGAGCTTGTCTCTGTAGTTAAGCAACCACTCATGGTTAACACGAGCCGCGTCTCCACCGAGCACATAAAAGCCCTTGTAGACAGGATAGTAGTGTTTGCTCCGTACTGGAGCGAACGGGTTTAGAATCTATATCTAATCAAACGTAGGAGGATCAAACGTAGGCAAAGAAGATGATGATGTTCAATTGTAACTATCTAGAGTCTTCTTTGCAGAAGATGTAATGCAATTAATGTACGAATGAGGAAGGTGCGGTATGCCCGCTGCATTAGGCGTCAAACTAGCAGTCATCGGTGTCTACAACATGTTATGACAGTGGAAATCTTGAGCTACGTCAAAGTACCCTGTTTCAGCTGAGAAAGAGGACTGCATCTTTTAGAGTGGCGGATTTGAAATCCACAACCACCGAATCATAACCTTTCCCCGAATAATGGACATTTCCTTAACTCAGTGCCACCAGGGATCCCTTCTATCATTGCAAGACCATCCCCGACAGTTCAGTATTAACAACTACACTGTCAACTGTAAGAGGCTTCTCTCCTCTCATCGGTCCCCAAGGCAACTAAACACCCCCCGGTGTCCTGTATTACTAAGACGTTTTCAAAGTGTCTATTCTCGACTCTTCTTTTCTCTTGCTGATACTCATACAATGATCTACACTACAATGACTGCCTTTGGCCTGCTTGGTAGACAAATGCAGCCACATTTTGCAGCTCAGGTCGCTGGGTCAACCTCGCCTCCATTCCCACTCCCCGTCAAGAGCATGGAACCGTCGCCATCGGTAACTCAACTATTGCGATCGTCGGTGGCATCGCCTCTCAAGACAATAGTAGCACCGCAGTCACAACCGACCTAGTCCAGCTCTACGACATCGCCTACAATACCTGGCGCACTGTATCCCCAGCCCTCTTCAGAGTCAACCACCCCAACCTTGCCTCCGTGGCCCCCAACAAACTCAACCTCCTGGGCGGTCTGACCGACGTACCACACCCAAAAGGCCAGGATCTAGACATCAACTGGAATGCGTCCAAGGACTGCTACAATTATGACGCTGCAACAGATACGTGGGCCGAGGTTGCCTCCATGCCCAGCGGCACAGAAAGGGGCAGTTCCGTCGTCGGTGTTCATAACGAGATGATTATATCTAGCCGGAGGAATGACAGTCCTCCAAACAGGATACCAAGATGCAGTCGACTCCATTATATCATTCAACACTACCTCTGGCCTGGGGCAGAGACTTGAGTCCGCTGCGGCTGAATAGCCAGAAAGCCGTCAGCATGCTACTGGAGCGGTCATTGGAGACACTTTCTATGTTATTGGTGGACGCCGATACGGCCAGATGTATCATCGAGACACGGTTTTCGAGCTTGCTCTGCAGAATATTGAAGCAGGATGGAGGACGAGCACTGGCCACATGCCTACCTCCCGCGGAGGCATCTTTGGGGTGCTGTTGATGGGAAGTTCTATGTTTTCGGTGGTGAAGGAAATCGAGATTCCATCACCGGTGTGTACAATCAAACGGAGATGTTTGATATTGTTTCGGAGCGATGGGTTGAATTGATGCCCATGGCTGTTCCTCGTCATGGTACTCAAGCTGCGGTGGCTGAAGGATGTATCTATATCCCTGGTGGTGGCCTCCAGCAGGATGGTAAGGAGGTCATAGTAGGCGGGAAGTCTACTTACCATAATCCTACCTCTCACTTTGATGCTTACTGTCCTTGAGCATTGAAATTGTTTAGCGGCGTGAAGGGTATAGAAAAACGGGCTGTTGAAAGTCGAACCACTTCTTGTCATAGTCATATAAATTGCAATGATGTAATGATGTCTTATATTGTCATTTATGATTACTTTGACGCACGGCATCAGTCTTCCAGGAATTCTCTGGATATCCCGTGAAGCATCGAAGCCTGGGCAGGACTTCTGTAGGTTGGCTAAAATGTGGTAGTGCACTAGAAATTCTGATCAGGCTGTATGTCCGTCCGCCTGTTGATCCAATCTCTCTGGTTGGATCTCTATCACCACACTGCATAAAAAGAGCTTGGGAAGGCGATTACAGTCATGTGACCTCGTCTTGAGATATGGACCCCACTTCCGTATAAGTAAAACCAGCTGAATACCCCGCCCAAATGAAGGATGGCCATGATAGCGAAATGAGCGCATCGGGTTGGTCTCAAGTCGAGATGGATTCAAAAGCAACGACCCTTAGAGGTAACACCTGTTCAGTATGTCAGGCTGTTCTCTGTCCTGATCCTGGCTACAAGTTTGGACCTGATCCAAACTCATCATACATTACCCCAGCCGGCCAAACCTTTGTCGCCTTTCGAAATGCTTCTCAAGCAGATTGCGTTATTTGCTCTACTATTTTCAACATGTCTGAGCAGCATCGATTGGCATGGTCGGATACCTCGTCACAATACTGGCAGCCATTGCAATATTGCGTACAGAAATATGCCGCCGAGGAGGGTATCGTGAGATTGAACGTCATATTTAGCGACCCACTGAAAAGTAGTGCAAATGAAGTTAGGTTTCGCCTGATTCCTATCGACAGTAAGCCTAGTCTGCTCCTACGAAAAGTTTATACTCCGTATCTAGGCTGATTGATTCGAAGATGATAAATATCGATCTTACTTTAGGGCGTGCAATATGGAGTCTGATACATCGTCTGCAACCACATTAGCAACAGCAAATGAATGGTTTCTTCACTGTCATTCTAATCATAAACTATGCCATAAGCTATCAAATTTTGACCCGGCAAAGCTTCCTACTCGGCTTATTGATATCGGGCACGACGGAGATACTAATTGGTTTCTCCGCATTATGCAGGAACAAAGTAATTTGTCAACACGCTTATCTTATATGACACTCAGTTACCGCTGGGGATCTGATGCGAATTTCATGCTTCTTTCCTCAAATATAGCACAATTTGAGCAAGGCGCGCCAATCTGCGACCTTCCTCAACTATTCAGAGATTTTATAACGGTAGCTCGGACTTTTCGCATCAGATATGTCTGGACTGATGCCCTGTGCATAATACAAGATTCGATCGATGATTGGGAGGCCGAAGCACCAAAAATGAGACACGTCTACGCAAATTCCGCATGCAATATCGCGGCGTCGGTTTCCAAAAGCCCGGAAGAAAGCATGTTCCGTTCCAGGGAGCCCGACAAAATTCGACCCCGTATGGTTTGGAGTTCTTTATCCTCTGATCGACCATCCTTCCACTATATCTTTGAGAAGAGATACTGGGATAGACAGATTTCCAATGGACCCTTACATAAACGAGGGTGGGTACTTCAAGAATGGTTCCTGGCTCCTCGAGTACTCTATTTTGGAGAAGACCAAATTCTGTGGGAATGCCTCAGTGAACATAAGTGCGAATGTTTCCCTTGTGGTATTCCAGCCCATTCATCGGACAAAAACATGGATGCGCTTTTTGATTATATGCCCACGATGGATGGCGTAGATCCACAGAGCCGAGAGCCCATGTCACTGGGAGCATTTAACTTGTGGAATGATCTTGTTGAAAGATACTCTCGCTGTGACTTGACAAACCCTTCGGACAAAATGATTGCTATAGCCGGCATCGCCAAACTTTTTCACGATATCACTGGTGACGAATATGTAGCCGGCTGGTGGAAATCACGCCTTCTTGAATCTCTGGATTGGCGTGTCTTTGAACCCCAGGAACGGCGGAGTGCGTGCTATAGAGCACCGTCCTGGTCCTGGGGTTCAGTTGATGGACCAGTCACAACGTTTGGTTTATCTGCATCTGCCGAATTTCTTGTCAGTATCGTGAACTTTCAGGTGGCCACAGGAAGCTCAGGTACTACAGACAATGTCTTGAAGGGGTACCTCGAGCTCAGGGGCACTGTTCTCGTAGGGTTCTGCCGCAATCTCAGCAATGGAAATCGCGCTATAGATATTGAGGGTCGGCAGCTTCCTGTCTGGGTTTATCCAGATTCTTCGGACACTCCATTTCTGGAGGGCAAGAAGGTCATCTGTATTCCATTGAAAAAAGACTCATGGGATACTAGTGGCGAGGCAAGATCTCACATCACACTCATTTTAGCCGAAGAAGTAGATCAGCAACAAGATTTCAGTGTTGTCTGTTGACGTCTTGGAATCTTGACTCTCTATACGCAAGAAGATGTGGAATATATCTGCGCAATTTGCGATATAAAGGCTATCGTCATTATATAATGATTTCTGAATAATTTTAAAAAAGAGATTATTAGCATCTATAGTATAGTTTTATATACAGACTATTAGTGAGATTACTGGCTTTAATTAGATTACCTAACCATATTTATTCTGTTATACTGGAGCTAAGGAATTTGACTAGATTCTGTAATCTAAAGTCTTAGGCTGCAGGCATCCGCAAGAGCGCCCTGGCTGCACTAGTAATAGGGTAATCCAATATCTATCTATCTATATATCTATCTAACAACTTGGACAGGGGCGGGGACAGCGTTGATGATCAAAGCTAAGTTCCGATAATGCCGCCCCTTTGTTGTCCGCAGTGATCGTTCTTGTTGAGGCCACCATCCACACAATCGCTATTTTCACAAGTATCGACCAACGTCAAGGTATAGTCACCATTACAATGAAAGATGAAGGGATCCCAACGACTAGGCATGTTTACCCTCCCCTCCTTAGACCCCATTTGTAGAGCTACTTTAATGGCGGAGGTTGCTTCACCTATTTGAGGTTGGTTATCAGGTATTCACCAACAAAAAAAGAGACGCGTATTTGTAGATTACCTCGATTTTGGAGTGTAGATGCGCAATAACTGAAGCCCGGTTTGCAATTGGCAGTGGCGCCGGCGTGGTACCCTGACTGCGCTGTAGCGTAGCCTGCCAGGGCGATGGTGGTACCTAGTACTCTTGTGTCACTGCTGCTGCATGATATTAAATTATGAGGTTGTACACGAAAGAATTATGACCTCAATCTCCTCTCCACACCGCATTAAACCGGTAATAGATTGACTGAGATGTATTTGTGAGAGTAGAAGGTCGTGCTCGGGCTTGAGGGGCTTGAGCGAAACTAGATAAATGGGAGTTGCTCTAAACGGTGGCTTGTTGACCGAACCACCTCCCGATAGTTAGCATTCTTGTGCATCACGACGGGAAGAGATTCGACTAGGTTAGGGAAAAGAGGCGGGTGAAAAAGAATGAAACTCATAACTCCAGTCAGGCTGATTCTCACATTAGAAAGTGAGGCAGAACCTCTTGCTTGACTTGGTTCTATTGGTCTCAGTAGGCCAGTCGGAGCCACAACAAAAGCCCGAGGGATTTAAACAGCCAGAAAAGTCGGGCCTTATCACATGGTAGGGCTGAATTGCACTCAAGATCTTATTTTTTCGATGGCGCTTCTCCATTGCATAATGTATACTAGTGGTAAATAGGCTATGATGTATGTGACCTGAGACATGAAAGTAGTACAAGAAAAATAAAATCCCATTTTGTGGCGCCTATAGTCGGTTTCTGAGATAGGGCTGGTCTGTAACGCCCCCGTACTAGGCCTGCTGATCTATTGCCCTGCAGACGGTTTCACTGTAAGAGAATGTACGATGAACAGTTTCGGAGCTAGGCATCAAAGGCCCTCTGAATATGATGGTATAATTCTGTCAATAAGAGCCCTGCGATGTCTAATAGCCAGTTTTTTGTGAGTGTTAGGATTTGAGCGCGACAGCCACAGAAGAAGCATAAATTTTCGTTTTACCGTTCAAGCACACAAATACACACACATACACAGAGGAGAGAGAGAGAGAGCGCGCCAATTGAGATATTCAATTTCATACAATCCATCTTATTGGCCGAGTGCACTTTATGTCAGATACTACCAGTGCCACTATCCGTGTCGATTGAGGAGGAGAGGGAGGGGGGCGATCATGACAGCGCTGGGTGTTTCCGATAATCCGATAATCCGATAATCCGATAATCCGGGAATCCGATGGGAGTGCCCACAACGCCTACAGAACCCCAGAATATACCAGAGGAGATATAAGGAGGTATTCGCCACGAGCGTTCCAGTTGATTACAGAGCAAAACAATAATTCAATTCAAGATCTTTAAAGCATTACCTAAAATTCATCCAATTATCAATATGGTCGGCTTTGACATGCGTGGTTTGACTCCGGCTCCGGTGACTCCATTCACGCCGGACGGTGCAGTAGACTACGAAGCTATACACCGACTTGGTTCCTGGCTTGGAGGTATCGAAGGAGTCAAGGGACTGGTTGTGCTGGGCCACGCTGGCGAGGGCACCTTTCTCACCACTGAAGAGCAAATCTCCGTCATCAAGGCTTTCGTGAAGTCGGTGAATAATAAAATACCAATCATTGCTGGTATCACTGGCGAGGGCACCGAAGTAGCCGCGCTAGAAGCAAAGCGTGCGAAAGAAGCTGGCGCGGCTGCCGGCTTGCTATACCCATCTCATGGATGGCTGCGCTTCGGATATCAGCCCGGGGCTCCTCAAGATCGGTACCGCCGTGTATATGAGGTGTCCGGCCTGCCGTTGATCCTCTTTCAGTATCCGGACAACACAAAAGCGACCTACAGTTTACAGACTATGCTTGATATTGCTGCCCAACCCGGCTGTTTTGCCATGAAGAACGGTGTGCGCAACATGCGCAGATGGGATACGGAAATTCCTGTCATTCGGGCCCAACGCCCCGACCTACAAATTCTCTCTTGTCATGATGAATACCTTTTGCACACCTCCTTCGACGTCGATGGTTTCTTGGTTGGCTACGGGAACATCGCCCCCGAGCCTCTTATCGAGTTGATCAAGGCTGGTAAGGCCAAGGATTACAAGAGGGCACGAGCTATCCATGACCAACTCCTGCCGGTCACGAAGAGTGTGTATCATCGAGGATCTCATATGGAGGGTACGGTCGCGCTGAAACATGCTCTTGTTGCTCGAGGGATCCTGACACACGCCACTGTTCGTTCGCCTTTGTTGCCGCTCGAGGAGGGCGCAGAACAAGAAATTCATGCTGCCATCAGTGCCGCATCCCTCAGCAAGGTGGATTTGTGAGGAAGAATGTCAAAGTATGGATCTGTATATGAGCGTGTTGAGCTAGAAGGTAGATGGGAGGGAAGATCACATCCAATAGCCAATTATAATTTTATGCGGTTTCCGTAACAATAGTGGCCTTATACAGTATAAAGTAGTATCGTAAGGTAACCTAGTGCACTTAACGATGATGCAAGAAGATTGTCTGGATTAACCGTTGCTCGAATTAGATGTCCTCGTGTTCTGCACAGACTACTGACCCTGTGATCTCGGACTTCCGGCTATGCTCGGCTATCCAGCCCGCATTCTTCATTCTATTTGGGGTCTGCAAATCCGGCATTTCCGTCCCCCTCTCCCTCTCTCTCCACCAAGCAGCACCTGAACGCAACATGGCATCCATCCATTCACCACAAGGCCCTTTGCTGGCGCCAGATCCGTCCAGAGCGCCCTCAGGGAAGCGCCCCTTGCTGACGACCGGTGACGATGCGGATGATGAGAATCGCCGGAAAGACCCAAAAATCACACGGGCTTGTGATACCTGCAAAAGAAAGAAAGTCCGCTGCGATGGTACACTTCCATGCAGGAATTGTGCGAAACGAAAACTTCATTGTTTCTATAATGCCAAATACAACCGGGGTCGGCCTCCAACCCCACCACCTTCCATGACGATCAGTGAGCACCAAGCCAGACAGCAAAGGTATCCTCCAGAGCAGAATTCCAATAGACAGAACACGGATCCAGTCACGCATCTAGTCCCCGAGTCTCAAGTTAACCCTCGGTATTCACCAGAGGTCGAACTTGAGGGGCAGTATTCCGATCCTACATCAGGATTGAACTTCTTGCACAGAGCATGGAAGAAACTATCGACACAAAACGATGATTCAGCATTACATCGTTTGAACAACGCAGGAAGAGACCAACTGCTTACTTCAGCTGGAGATCCGCAACTTCATGTTGATGATGCAGCTCTAGACGACGTGATTCCAGTCGCCTCCGTGGCGAGGGAATTGCAAGAGTTCTACTTCGAAACGTGTGTGGTGACGTATCGTATGTTCCATCGGCAACTCGTAGAAGGTTGGATGGAGATTCTCTTGAAGAATCGACAAGAACGACGGCCAATTACCCATTCGCTCGGAAATTCTAGAACTGCGATACTGCTCACCATAATGGCTATCGCCTCTTTGCGCCGTGATAAAGTCAACGGGAAAGGGCCCCAAGACGACAACATGAATGGCTTATGCAAAAGCGATCGGTTGTTCAGTGCGGGCATGAAACTGACTGAGACGGAGATGGGGTTTCCAAAAGTTGAATCCGTCCAGGCTCGGCTCATTCAAGTTCTCTACCTTCTGCAAACAGCTCGCATGAACAAAGCCTGGTATGTATTTGGAAATGCCTTTCAGGTAACACTTTCCCTCGGCATGCACCGGTGTCGAGACCAGAGGAGACATTTCCCTTTCCCGGGACGGCCCCATAATTACATCATCTCAGAATGCTACAAACGCACGTTTTGGGTAGCTTACATTGTTGACACCTATTTGAGCGTTGTGTTCGGCCGACCTCGACTTTACCAAGACGAGAATATTGACCAGGACTTCCCTAGTATGGTCAATGACGAGGACATGAAACCGCAAGGGCCTTGCGACTCAGACAACCCAGGAGATTGCTATATTGATGCTTTGATACATCATGCCAAGTATATTGTAATGCCTCTCCATCATGAAGATCGCATACTTACCACATTTCAGGATTGCGCAGATCATAGGAAAAATATCACGAGAAGTATACTCGATAAGCAATTTGCCCAACGAAGATCGTCTAGCAGCTGTGCAGCGGTTGTGCCATGATCTGCATGTATGGTGGGCCAGCCTGCCGCCACATTTGGGTACAGTAAAACCCTCCACCTTGATACCCAGTTTCCGGCGCCAGGCCATTGCTATGCGGCTGGCATATTATCATGCTCTCCTGCATGCCAATCGACCTTTCCTTTTGAGTGAAGGAGCATACGAGGAAGTTAAAGAATGCATAACTGCTGCCCAGAACAGTCTAGAACTTCTCAGTAGAATGGCTAAAGACAGTACATTATTTCATTCTTTCTGGTGGACATATTATGTTATTTTTTGTGCATTGTCTGTTGTCTATGTCTGGGAGATTCAGCGAACTACCCGATGCATATATGAAAATGATGATCAGGCATCGAGCAAGCTCTTTGAGCTCGCAGAGAAGTGCCACGGTCATCTCAAGAGAGCATCGACAAGTCTATCACAGAACCAGCGATACAGCATTATACTAGATGAACTGCGATCCGAAGCACAGAGATGCCGAGCTGCGATGGAAAGCTTGCAAAGTCAACGTCCAGGTAATTTCCATGGCGCTGAAGGCCATGTTGCAGATATTAGCCTTTCATTTCCGCAAGACCCGGAAAGCTGCCTTAACACGGCCTTTCTCCATGAAGGAGCCATGCCCGGGGTGTTAGAGAACCTCCAGTTTAGTGATTGGCAGATGCTTGACTCTTCGGTACGTGTATTGTTACAACTCCATTACAGCATGCTAAGTTCACTTAAAGGCCTTCTTGCCCTTATCGGACTCAAATTACGTCTCTCCTACAGACTTTCCTGGAGTTCAATGTGATTGATCGTCTCTGGTGGCCAGTGGAACTCTTACTAAAATGTCTTCCCCGCTTTTTGAACGCGAGCTACATCGGTGGGAAAACCGGATATCTCGGAAAACAAGGCTCACAGCACCGAGAATCCGGAGTTGCCAAGGCTGCTCCGTGAACGGCGCCAACTTTGCTTACTTCCCCGGATCTGCTTTTCCTGCATCTACCCGTGGGGGTGCCAAGAGCTCTGTTAACCCAGACCCATAAGATGATCTCGATTCCTGCTGTTGATTGTCCTAACTTGCGCCCCCCAGACCAACTCCGTTAATATGACTGATAAGGATACTGCCGTGATGCACCTAGAGGACCTCCCAGGTCATGGAGCCTCTGCCGAAGATTTAGAGTTTCTGTCGAATTTTCCACCCGAGGCAAAGAAGGAGGTTCTCAGAAAGGTAACTAACTGTATCGGTATGACGCGCGTGTATGGAGCTTACTGACAATATTATTATAGGTTGACGTATGGTGTCTATCTTCATTCCTTCAATGAATGAGGTGCTGAGTTACAAACCAGATGCGACTCGTTCCAATGTTTGTCCTTTTGTACTTGGTTGCATATATAGACAAAACCAATATTGGTATGTAACACCCCTAAAATTCATGCGTTCTGGTGTTAACACTGAGCAGGAAATGCCAAAATCGAGGGCTTACTTCCAAGTCTACACATGAGCGGCATACAATACAATATTGCCTTGTCTATCTTTTTCATACCTTATGTTCTAGCTGGTACGAGTCTCCTATGTGCGAACAGCAAACAAACACTAACGTGGCCAAAGAGGTACCAAGCAACATCATACTTAACCGACTTAAGAGACCGTCACAGTATTTAGGGCTCCTAATATTCTGCTGGGGTGTGATCATGCTTTGCACGGGCTTTGTTCGCAATTTTGCCGGCCTTGTGGTGATTCGATTCCTTCTGGGTCTTTTCGAGTAAGGCCCTAGGCGCATGGAACACTTTTCGCAGTACTGACAAGTCACATAGGGCTGGGTTTCTGCCAGGTGCTGTGCTAATCATATCAAAATGGTATCTTCCAAACGAAACACAGACTCGCATCGCTATTCTCTACACATCTGCTGCTTCTGGTGGAGCCTTTTCCGGTCTCCTGGCATATGCTATCGCCAAAATGGACGGAATAGCAGGCTACGAAGGTTGGCGCTGGGTAGGCCATTTCTTCAAATCCTTCTGTGATCCCACTTACTGATATCCATACTAGATCTTCATCATCGAGGGTCTTGTGACAGTTTTGCTGGCCGTTCTTTGCTACCTGCTCCTTCTGGATTCCCCATCTTTATCCCCCAAGTGGCTTTCACAAGACGAGATTCGATACCTCGAGGTACGACAGCTCGTTTCCAATAATCATAGTGGTCACCATGAAGGCTTCAACAAGAAGATTATCTTCAGCGTCCTGACCGATTGGAAAATCTATCTCCTCATACTTGGTAATTGGTCCAATGCCGTCCCCAACTACGCACTCAAATTTAGTATGCCTGAAATCATCAAATCAATGGGGTATAAGTCAGCTACGGCCCAGCTTATGACAATTCCGCCTTACACAGTCGGCGCCATATCAGCTTACGGCTTCTCCGTGTTCGCTGATTGCTTTTCATGGCGAATGCCATTTATCGTGATCCCCCAGTGTTCGCTCATAGCTTCATTTGGCATTCTGTTTTCGAAAGCCGCCAGCATCGAGAATAATATAGCACTATGCTATTTTGCGATTTGCCTTGCTTGCTTTGGAATGTATCCCATCCTCCCTGGTGTTAATGCCTGGAATGTGTGCAACATTGTTAATCCGCACAAGCGCGCTGTGGCCATTGGTTATCTTATCTGCGTTGGGAATGCGGGTGGTATCATCGGCAGTTATATTTACAAATCTGATGAAAAACCCCGATACCCTACTGGTTATGGCACCTCTCTTGCGTTTGCTGCTGCTGGACTTGTGGCTGCTTTGAGTTTGGAGTTCTGTTTATGGAGCGCTAATAAGGGGAAGGCTCGGTTGACTCTGTCTGAGATTGAGGAATTGTATACTGAGGAGCAGCTTCGCGATATGCAAGAGAAGAGTCCTCTTTTCAAATATACTCTGTGAAGTTTATCTGTTATATTTGCATTAATGAATAAAGTTGGGAGAAAGAGACAGTACAATGTCAAAACATGGATGCCCGCGTCACAGCTCTGGGATGTGTGTCATCCGAGCCCGAAAGTCCAATCTTGGCCCTTCCTGATCTCTAAGGCTGTCTGCACCCACCGAATAAGTTTTCCTGGGGATTTTTGACCATGATGAGGTCGCAAACATGGACCGTATCAAACCCAATTTACGAAGCTTTCTCATCGGGCGTGGGCAATTATTCCTATGATACTCTAGTATGATGTTGATGTTGAAAGGCTCAACAAATTTGACGATTATTGGTGGCTAGGTAAACAGCCAATGCAGGCAAGTCTACTCGACAGCGCAGATTTCATCTAGTATGGCATAAGTCTCGCTTGATGCTCCTTAGATCTATATCGAGGTACCCCATTGAAATAGAGTTCTGGAAAGTATACCATGCTGATGCCATAGATCCTTTCATTTTTCTATTCAACCACTCTGACGTGACGCCCTACTGCTACAGCTTCTGTCGACAGAGGGAGCTATATGGGTGCACTTTGGGCTTTGTTTCTACCCTAATGACCAACAAGGCGAACTCAGGCCCATCGACTCTTACCAGCAGGGGTAAGATGGGTATCATGTATCATGTTCAGCAGGCAAGTATATGATATTAACACTTCAACAAATGCTATGACTGCGTGACATGTATCCGAAGATCACTTTTTGAGCATGAATGGAATATAAGCTCTTTCACATATCATTGGCAGGGCTACAAATTTACATACCTCTTCCTGTGTCCGGAAGAGGGGAGTATTGGCTTTAACTCGACAAAACGACTTTCACCTAAAACTTCGTAACACGTTCGCCAAATAGGCGCTATACATTCTTCATCCATAAGAGTGTGTCGTCATAATGTGCAAAGAAAGTGTAACTTACAGGACATTGCTCTTAACTTCATGTGCTACATATATCATATGAGGTTTTTATGAATACGAGTACGATGTGGCGCCCCCGCTGATGCCGTAATGCTGGAAACTCTTCTTATTGGATCATTTGTTCGGGTCGGTGGCCTACAACTATATCTGAAATATGAACTGGACAAATTCTGGGTCAACAATTTATCTAGAAAATTATGCCCTGCCGTAGCATTCCCCTTTGCACTTATGAACCACGTCTTGTCAGGTTAATATTGAATCGCAACGATTACAAACGTCTTTTGCGAGCATGGCATGGCCTCGTCCAGGCTCCATAAGTGTTTATTCAGTGTTTGGATTGACGATAGTCGCGTCTGGGATCCTTTTTTACTACGTTAGACGCGCGCTCAAGCGTCATGGACAGTTTCTTCAACGAGGTACAAGAATAATAGTGGATTGCCAGCCTCCCAACCGCAGACTAGAGTATATCTTCCATATGCTCCAATATTTTGGTTCAACACTGACTGTTTTCAGCGTCGTCGCAGTGCATGGGTTAGGCGCGCACCCCGAATTTACTTGGACGACGAGAGGCCCAAACCAGTCTCGCGTAAACTGGCTAACGGACTTGTTTCCACGAGACTTCAGCAAAGCACGGGTCATGACATTTGGCCATAACTCTGACTGGTTTGTCCGGGCGAGCAACAACACACCGTTTGAAAATGCCAAAATGCTTTTACGAGCAGTAAACGAGGAAAGGCGTGAACACCACAAGGTCAGTCTTCAGATAATCGAGATAACCATAGGGAACACCTCAAAAGTAACCCTTTGGCTTATACTGCAGTGTCCCATCATTTTCATCGGCCATAGCTTTGGCGGCATTATTATTAAAGAGGTAAGAGCACCATGATCAGTCTAAAGTAACCTGACTGATCTGGTTCATCAAGGCAATATGTTTGGCGGAAACAGATAAACAGTATCGGGACATACTGGATGATACAATCGGTATCATCTTTCTTGGAACGCCCCATCAAGGGTCCAATGTTTCGCAGTTTGGAGCCTTCATAGCACGCTTGACATGGGTATTTGGATCCAGCACAATACTACTGAAAGGTCTCTACAGGGATAACCCTCCTCTATCCGACTTACAAGAACGATTCATGAGCGTTATTCGGAGGAGAAAAGACATTAAGCTCGTCACGATGTATGAGAAGCACCATACGTACTTTGCTCAACTTATTTACCTAGGCTTTGTAAGTACGATCACTATACGCTATACATACCACGGATACTTACAAAAAATGAAAAAGATTGTCGAGAGGAATGCTGCAGTGCTTGATGTGGCCGAAAACATTGCAGTTGAGAAAGACCATATGGGTCTGAACAAATGTGCCTCACCAAATGATCCGGCATATGACGCAATTTGTCAAGGCATCAATAGAATACGGGATCATGCAGAGAGCAGAGGCTGGAAGAAAAAATACCTAAAATGGTCCGAGAGGTCAAGGCTCTAGCTTACAAGTTATGAAGGTCCACAAATGCCATGGTACTGCTGCAAGAATAGACCTCGGCATGGTCCGACTCAGGTTCTATAGATCGGAACTCACAACTCGAATCCGAGTCAGATCGTGATTCAGTCATGTTCGAGTCATGCTTTAACCTGACGGTATCTGGGTTGCGTCATTGTACCATGATGTTGTGTATTTCGGTGGTACGGCACCCACCTCAATCAATAAGATGGCGGCTGCGCGAGACAATATCCTCAGACAGGGACCTTACAGGAAAAGGGCCTGCCTCTGATCATATACTCAATAAACGTCAAATCGAACTTGATATCCTATATTGGCAACTTTTTTGCCAATTGCGGTGTTCTTCTGCCATTATTGTAATCTTGCATCATAGTCATTAGGAGTAGCCCTGGATTTCCAAGCAATGAGAGAACACAATCAAGTTGTCAACTGTGTGAGCTCAGTAGCTTGTAGTGCGCAAATCGCTCCCGTTTGAAGTGCAATGTCGCCAGAAGGTTATTGATGAATTGGATGATCCCAAGAATTGCAACTAGCAGAAGTATAATGAGCGGGCCAATGATTGAAAAGACGGTAAAACCATACGAAGCATTTTGAAATGCAACATTGCGCCCCAGCTTGGTAGCCAGCCCAACCTGCATTGCCGTCAACGCTAATGCGACATAAACAATCGTTGCAGTAAGGGGTGTTAGATAATCATAGAACAACTCAGTATATGTTTGGTATGTGAAGTGATAACCTCGTAGGATACTGCCATAACGAAACATGTAGATTTTGTTGAGTCGTGAAAGCCTAAGTTCGCCGAACAAGTAACGTGCATTGACATTTTCAGGGTTAGTAGCTCCGTTCTCCAAGAGCTCCTTGACCAATCTAACCCACGTTTCCCATGTCACGTTGTGTGGTATTAAGTGTTGGTCCTGGGCAATAGCAAAATCACTCTCTCGCTCAATTAAAGCAATATAAGAATATAAAAGTCCTAGGCCACATTGGTATAGATGTTTTTGCTGACAAACCCCGTCCCCTCCTTCTGTCTGACAGTAAATATAGTTGGACCTGCAGGGACAGGGTTCTTTGCAGATCAGGTAAGATTTCCAAAATTGATGGCTTAGGAGGTATCGCGGGAGGGGCTTCAGATGGATGCGCCGTGAAGGTTCCCAGACCATGTGCATGTCAATCCTCTCATCTGGCACAATTTGCCGAGAAGTTGCGGTTTGATAGTTCAAGGGTCTGGGTGGCATGGGTCGGCCAGCCAACCACAAGTATTTGTGAATACGGTTAAGACATTCGACAGAGAGATCGTTCTGTAAAAAGCGGGAAGTATCCGTAGTAGGACTGTAGGGGGTATAATACTCGTCGCGAATTGCAGCAGGAGTGTAGAAAGTACTTGAAATAGAGACGTCAACACTGAATGGTGGCTTTGTGGGCATGCTTATACAAGAGACGATAGTGAACTGAGTTGATATTAGGTCTTGAGTCGATAGGTTAGAGAGTGACAGAAATACAGCTAGGGACAAGCCTAGGTACATATGTTGCTTAGCTACCTTGAAAAGCCAAGATTGGAGGCATGATCTGTTTCTCATTTGAACAGAGCCACTCCGAGGAGCGCCATCATCCGGGGTTGGCTGGAACCTTCGAGACCGGCCGAGAGTCTGGCGTTGGCAGGGTTAATGTACTAATACTAAGGTTTCGAGTGGACCGGGGAATGATCGGCGACCCAAGGTTTACATCAGTCATCTGCTCTTACCATGTATATTTTTCTGTATCCATTATCGATTAATCTATAATTACCACCCCGTTAATTATTTAAATCATCTAATCCTCTTAAATTATAATTAGTTCAATATAGTCTCTATAAACTGTTGAACTTGACTAAACGCCGGAGTATTATATGCTACGGTATAGGAAGGGTTTCCATTACAGCTAAAAATTAAACAGTATAGAATGGGGGAATATGAATGTTTAAGCTCCATCCAAGCATATAAGCTAGCTCTACACTGTAACTAATACATACGACCATAGGGTGTGGAAAATAGGGCTTCCCGTCCGCTCAGCCGTACTCAAGCCACACGCCGGGAGGTTAGTAGTTGGGTGGGTGACCACCAGCGAATCCCTTCTGTTGTATGTTTCTGTCATTTTTAGTTCATTAGCATTCGTTATTTATATATATTTTATTTGCCTCTACCATCCCGCATGATGGGTGCGTGCGGAAGAGAACTTGGGTCGAACGTGAGTTTCAAATGGCTGATGCTCTAACGAACCCTGAGTAAAGCCGGTACTCTAATAAATTAAGTAAAGTCTAGACCAGAATCAGGGTAAGAACATCAGAATCTATATTATCACCATGCATATCGCGGTGCCGAACGAGGAAAGGGGATACGGACGCTCGTCTACGTCGTCTCTGGTTGGTCTTCATTTCAATAAGTATTGTTGGATAATCAACGACCTACTCGCAGTTACTCACAGTACCATTATCATTTATCTTTCTATAGCCCTGCGTCCTACATGGGTCTGTTCTCAACCACCATAATTATCTATTTTTTGCTTATTCTGATGGCCAGAGGGATCAATACTAGGTAAGTGCATCGTTACGTTAGGGTTGCAGAAATTCATACAATTTTATCATGTTTCTAAAAGTCAGCACAGACAACCCAGAGGATACCAGTTAATCCCATTTCCCACAAGCCATTTCCTCAATTGTACGGAATACCGGGTTACGGTTGTCTCAAAGTCTTCCGGCTCGCGTCCCAGGAGCTCTCCTAGCAATGGGGACACGAAAGCGCCTTCTCCTAGGCGAATGTGGTGGACGCGCTTGAGAAGGTTGTAGAACGCAGGTTTGTCATTGCCCGATGGGTGATTGATTTAACTTTCTATTCTCCGTTTTTCCCTTCATATGCCAGCTTCCGTAAAACTTCCAGTCCGACGGACCATCGGTTGAGTGCCAAATCCAATTCCACCGGAGTCGGAGCGTTCCCGGCTGTGCGTCATAGCCAATGGCCGATGTGCGGGTAGGAACGCCCAGAGACAAGCTCATACAACAGCGTCATTAGTACAAAGTTGATAAAGGCTGGGCACAACGAAATTCGAGGATATTGGATTCTACTTCACTAAAGCCAACAAAGATGCCTTCACATTACCCCAACGCCGACGTGAGATTGTGGAAATTGCCAACGAACCGGCAGCGCTGTGAGTTGTAATTCCTGGTGCATCAGACGGCTCATTTCTTACGATCCCCTACAGATCCCTACTTTAAACCCCAAGCAGACTCCGACGGCGGGCACCGCTCTCGTGCCCACGTCTCAAGACTCTACTACCACCAAGCTGTTTACGCCGCTGTCTATCTGAGGGATTTAGCTCCAGAACCGAATTCTGGTGAGTTGCTTCGTGTCACTTGTTTTTTCTTGTCCAAATCCTGGACGTTCTAGACTAACCTACATGGCTCAAGCTCTTCCCTCTCTGCCAATATTCGGCCGAAGATGGGCATCACACCGACTGGCGCTTGGCTCACCTGGTTGGTATCATCTCGCGTGGACCCTGCCTCTCCTTTGTGGAAGTTACTGCGGTCACAGCTAACGGCCGGACCACACCGGAGGATTTAGGCCTCTGGAAAGACTCACAGATCGGACCGTTGAAGAAGATCGTGGACTCTGCGCATAGCCAGGGCCAGTTGATTGGAATCCAACTCTCCCATGCGGGCCGGAACGCGAGTACTGTTGCCCCGTGGTTGAGCATGAACCGAGGGCCGGGAGCTTCTGTTAAATCAGTCGATGGCATTGACCACAATGGCTTTGCACCAGAAAGAACCCTTTTTACTCTTCCCTCCATCCAAGCTTCTGGACTAACATCTGCCTTGCTCTTTGAAGAGCGTCATTGCTGGCCAGACGATGTAGTTGCCCCGAGTGCGATCGCCCGCTTTCAAAGACAAGAACGTCATTCATTGGAAGTTCTCTTACGACGAGATACAATCTTTAGTAGTGGCTTGGGGTAAAGCTGTGAAGAGAGAGGTCCGTCTCCATCCGCTTCCTTCAAAGTATATTCCGTCATCTAACCCCGCTTGATTTCTGTTGCAGGGCAATTGAGGTCCACGGTGCGCATGGATATCTTATCCACGACGTGCTCTCCCTGTCTCCAACAAGCAGACGGACGATTACGGGGGAAGCTTCGAAAACCGGATCCGCTTGGCCATCGAGCTAGTTGACATCTCTCGGCAGCATATGACTCCGAACATGCCTCTCTTCTCACGCGTGAGTGGCAACGAGTGGCTGGAGCATCTAACTGGGACGCGGGCCAGACGGTTCGGTTGGCGGAGGTTCTAGTGGGACACGGGATGGATGTCCTCGATGTACCCAGCGGAGGGAATGATCCCCAGCAGCAGATCAAGGGGTGCCAGGCCTACCAGTCCCCCTACGCATTCCAGGTGAAAGATGCTCTGGGCGATCGTCTTCTGGCGGCCTCCGTTGGGGCCATCACCTCCGGTCCGCAGGCTAATGACCTCTTGAATGCGGGCCTCGATATGGTCGTCATCGGGCGCAATGTTTCAGAAAATCCAGGTCTGTTGTGGACGTTCGTTGAAAAGCTCGATGTTCCATCAGATTCACTGGAGGTTTGCTGGATAGCGCCTTCACCAATGATTACTGCTGGCGTAGAGTTGAAGGAATTGCCAATCACAACAGCTGAGTCTGGTCTTATAGTAATCAAAGCGATCATGGATGCGCGCATCGACAGCTTACAGAACATGGACTTCCCAAATGTCAAGCCAATAACGATTGAGACGTAGATGAACCAGATCTGTGGAGAGAGGACATCAATCTGCCACTGTACAGATCTTGATGGGATTTAGACGGTTCACTGACTCAGGGGATATTGTATATATAATGCAGTCTTACAGAGACAAATATACCGTACTTCTTTTCGTCCAATTCAGCAGCACATATGAGTATTTCACGGACTTGAGACATGTACAAGACTGGAAAAGTCTCAGAAAAACAAGGGCGCAGAGCTACCTACCAGATATCAGGTTCTGAGTGATTTTACCTCACTACCAGAGCAGCTGTCCTTGCGATTTTCTATTTCCTTTTCCTTGAGCACAAATGCAGAACATTTAGGTCGATGCTCGAGTCCGCATACTTTATAAGACGGGATAACGACCCACTCGCCCCAACCAGCGGAGGATATTTGCACAGGACCCATGGTTTCGGCCCACATCGGGCCCGCCGAATTACCATTTTGGAGCAGAACGCGAGATTTTGACTTTCTTTACATGTATCCAGCCCCCCTGTGGTCGGTGATAGAGACATTATCTATTCTCTTTTAGAAGCACAGACAAAAACAGAAGAATGAATCAGCCAAATGACCTGACTAGCCACTTTGCCAAAACTCAAAGCATGTAGCAACATAACCCATGTAAATGCCGTACTTCCTCTTTCTTCATTGCATTTTGATTTCCGAAGGAGTTTGCTGACCCTATCTCAACATGATCAGATGTCCTATATGCCAGAAACATGTTTTTTCATCCAAAATCAACGAGCATCTCGATTCTAGCTGTCAAAGATTTATCGCAAACTTCCACCTACAAAATACGATATCGTCTTCTCTTATCGAAAATGGCAGCAACCCACCAGAAAGAACGAAACAACTCCAACTGGAAGACGGCTACGGTTCAACGGAATTTTTTGCTGGTGGTACCGGAGTTTTGAAAAGAGCAATCCCTCAACCACAGTTTACTATCGCACGAAAGAAACCATACATAGGATCAGCAACGGAGCGACTACGTCTTCGAACTGCACCTTTAGCCGAGCAAGTCCGACCACGATGCTTCGACGACATTGTCGGTCAAGAATCTCTGATCGGCCCAAACGGTACACTTATACGATTGATTGAACAAGATGAGCTCCCGAATATGATATTATGGGGGCCTCCAGGAAGCGGTAAAACTACAATTGCCAGGGTCATCGGGCGTATGATGAGGAGAAAGGCTCACGAAATTAGTAGCTTGACTACAACAACAACAGAGTACAAAGACATCGTCACGAAGGCCACACAGGATGTGCGCAAGGGCCAAAAACCATCCATCGTGTTTTGTGATGAGATACATCGACTCACACGGCCACAACAAGATATATTCCTCGATGCCGTTCAAAAAAATAAAATTTCTCTTATCGGCGCGACCACCGAGAACCCGTCATTGAACATCCACCATACCCTTGTCTACAAATGTAAAGTCTTCAGTGTCACGAAGCCAACTACCAATGACTTGGTCACTATCCTTCGTCGTTCGATGGAATCACAAACCCACATGAAGTCACTACCATTTGTGGACGACGAATTTCTTCAATACATAGCCGGATTTGCTGATGGCGACAGTAGAACCGCACTAAATGTCCTGGAGATAGCTACGGATCTATGCACACGCCCAAGCATGACCAAGGAGAAGTTGAAGCAATCATTGACTAAGAGCTTACTCTACGACCGATCGGGCGACCAGCACTATGACACTATTTCGGCACTCCACAAGTCAATCCGAGGCAGTGATCCCGATGCTGCCCTATATTACCTCGCGCGAATGCTCCAGTCAGGCGAAAACCCTTTATTCATCGCTCGTCGGCTTGTTGTGGCGACATCGGAGGACATTGGTCTGGCGAATAATGTCTTGCAAACATATGCAACCTCGGTCTACCTGATGATTGAGAAGCTAGGGATCAAGGACGCACAGTCTCCGCTGGCTCAACTGGTGGTAACAATGTGTTTGTCAAAGAAGAGCACTAGATCTTATCGTGGTTTGAATAATGCTCTTGCTGCAGTGAAGGAGCCTGGGATGGGTGATGTTCCAGTGCCTTTTCACGCCTTGGATCGCAGGCCTGAGCTTTTGAGGGAGGCTGCGCGGCTCATGTCCACTCACTCCAAACAAGCCCAGGACAGGCAGGAATCCACCCAGGGGTTTCTTCCACGTGCTCTCGAAGGACGGAAGTTTCTGGAAGATACTGATTTTCTGTTTAAACGAGATTCCGACTTGAGTCATGGGTGACAGCCAAAGGCCGCCACGGCTTGAATACCGCCGCACCAAGAACCAAGTTGTCGGTATCCGAACTAGAACTTCCATGCTATTATATGTTTTTGATATAATGTAATCATGCCACGTTGTTTGTAAATACTGTTCTTGCCTCTAATTTAGTGACAATCAGAAAGTAGTGGACTGTTTTACTTTTCATTAGTCATGCATATATCTTCTCTCTGAGAAGGGTATGGAATACATAAGTGATAAGTGATGCTGACCTCACACCTAGCGTACATACATGACTAGTACGGCAGACTACAGCTCCATAATCAGCCATGTGATTCCGGTACAAGCCAACTTGGGTTTTGCGGCCATCTTCTTATGACTAAGGTACACATCTGTCGTACTGGGTACCGTAATAAGTCCACAGAGTCCTTTGTCCTTGCCACGGCAGCCGATAATCCACTATACCAACCGTTGACTGCAGCGCCGAATCTGATTCATGACTCCGAGATCAAAACGCCGCGATTTCTTACAGAACATCGCGACTTGCCAGCATGACTTACCATACTAGAGTCCTTAGCCACGCTGTGTTGCTATGTGCCATTTCTGCCGACCGAGTGTGTCTGAACCGAATGAGTCTCTTTTGCTTGTGCTGACGCCTTATGCATGGCGGATTTGGTAGTGTCTGCACTACAAAGTGCTAATAGAGCCTTGCCCTTGACAAGGTTTGTGGGGTATTATGTTCGAAAGCCGCTGCTCCGTATCTGACTACACGTAGTCGGGTTGAAATCAAGTGCTGATCGACGCGGTGGTTGGCTGGCTGCTGCCGCCATCCTCCAACCATGATTATTTGATTTCGAACAGCATAGAATGTTTTCGCGAAGCATGTGGCCATTCTTCTAGTTCAATATCTGGGGTTGAGCATATCAAACCCTATCCTAGAAGCAACAGCCAATCTTTCTGGAGCATGCGCGCTAGCCAGAAGGAACGGTTACCATTGTCTCGGTCATTCCAAAGTTCTTCAACGAGTCGAAGAGCCATCAGGTTTGTGGGAATGCGATTCAATGAATAGACGGCTCGCAATCTTTCACGCACTTTATCGCGCAGGATGTTATTCGACTCGGTCAATTCGGACCCGGCTGATAGGAGAGCGAGAGATTGGAAGTTCAGATAGTACGAGGATGAAGGAATCAGCATCAAATGGCGTACTGTCTCTTCGGCGTATTTTAGTATCAACGGCTCTTGCGCTTGAGTTAAACCCCGATGCATAGAACAACTCCTCTGTGCATGAACACGAGATTGATAAAGTAGAACGAGACCTTGATAGCGGAACGCTTCGTATAAGTGGACGAGGTCGGGATTTTGGGCGCTCGTCGTCCATTCAATAAGCTGGGCCTCCAGTATGGCTTCTTGAGTGAAGTTCCGATTCTGCGGCACATCATGTACCTTTCGACAATACCGTCCGACATTGGCTATTGTAAGGAGTAGGCTGCTACATGTTCCGTACATTGGATGGTGCCAGTCACCCATCCTATGCACCGCGAGAGATATTATGAATGAGTTGATACTCTGTGGTTCACCGGGTTCTACTAAGAACGAACTGCACATGTCCCAGTAAAGATACACACCCAGGCAGAGTCGAACCACAGGGTCATTAGTCGTCGACACAGATGTGTCTTGAAGCATACTGTTCATCAAGGCACGGGCACCAAATAAGTGCTGTTTGCCATAGTCCTTCGGGTCAGGACCAGCAACTTGCATAAAGGACAATAGCATTATGGTCAAGAAGTGCGTGTAGTGAGCACGTTGGACTTGATCTATCTCTCTTCGAAGGCAAGCTATGGCTTTGCCATGTTCCTCAAGGGCCAGAATAGGGGCCTCTGCCGGAAAGTACTGTTCATGGTTGGCACTGATTGAGTGGATAGCATGGAGAAGTGCGGGAGATTGGGCTAGGTCTTTCAGAATAGGGAAAGAGAACGGATTGTTCTCAGGATCTATAACGAACGCTTGGCTGACTTTCTCCAGGTAATACTGTAGTAACCGTCGATTGACATGCGTTTTAGGCTGAAGTGAGAGCCACGGTGCCTCAAATTGCCATTGTGTTAGCCGCGGGACCGACGTACAGACCAGACCTCGACGCTGGCACCGCTTGCACGTCGGATAGCCTTCATCGCATTTGACCCGCTTCGCCTTGCATTCTCGACAGCCGAATTTGCTTTTGTTTCGCGCTCGAACCGGTAAGCCCTTGTACTCTCGATGCGTAGTTGGATTTGCAGGCTCGCTGACTATCACTTGTTTGAAACGTAATCCGCGGACCTCCATATCTGGTTGGATAGACTGTTGCATTGGAGACGAGAATTTGGTGAAGAATCTGAGGAATCGCCACGAGGGTTGCCGTATCACCACTGGATTACTAATCTCATCCGCGACACCAAACCCGTTTTAACTTACGGTACCATATCTGATCCGTCTTGAATTCTTGTTTGTATCAACGACGCGGCTGCGATCATTCTGCCCCGGTGTTGACTGTGTCCATGTCGTGCGCATGTCGTTGAGAAAGCCCGAAAGCCCTCGTGATGTGCCGAGCGGCCAAAGGACCCATGATTACCTTAAGTAGCAGCACAGAGAATCTTTCTACAGGTGCAAAAATGGACCAGGCGTGAAGTCTCTTCTTCTTCTGTCTATCACCCAGCGCAGACCAATGGTTCATTTTCAGCGCGGTTATATAGCTCGAGGCAGTCTTCGTTAGTGCCAGTCTCCAGTGTATAATGAGAGGTTTC